ATGTATTATCCTTCTATATAATCTTTCCTGATATTAAAGATACATTATGGGAGATTCGATAACGAGTTGACAGTTATCACTATAATAGTTAAAAACTAGATAATATAAAGGCAATTTGCTGAAAATTTCATTTAAATTGATCCACTATGCACCGAGAACTAAGCCCTTGAAATTTCCGCCTAGCCTCGATCATCATTATTACAGTCAGTACAAGCAGCATAGTCTCGATTATCCATTTAATTGTTAAATCGTAAAGGAAAGTAATGCAGTAAATCTAGAGTTGATTATGGTTTAGATAGGTTAATTAATGTCTAATTAATAATTGAGATAGCATTTCAGGCCTAAAGAAAGACCTGCAATAGACAAATTTAGCTCTTGCATAATGTATGTTTAATGTTAATATTATAATCAACATTTTGTTTATAATCTTTCTATTTAGCAATGAAGGCGTTGATCCTGATATTAATGTTGATTTTGGTAAAGGGTCAGGTCCCATTCTGGTGTCGAATATTAATTGTAAAGGAAATGAGTCATCTTTATCCAACTGCAAACATCCAGATTTTAGAATCGGAGAATGCAGTGGTGCACCTGATGCCTCGGTCGTTTGTAAATGTAAGTCTATAGAAACAGTAACCAGTCATTCTTACAGGACATATATTAACAATATGTTTGTATATCGGTCCTTTAATTTAAACTAAAGATATTACAAGACTCGTGGTAAAGTTAGATTGATCACTACATACACATGAAGTCGATGACCTTGTTCAGAAAAAATAATTAAACGATCGAGACAATTTGTTAATAGCCCCTGCATTTTAACATACACGAAAGGGGTTTTAGTTTATAATTTTTGATATCTATGATCGTCCTTCGTCATTTAGTAACGTGGCCTATATGAAGTCCGGATTTCAATCTTAACGAATCTGTTTGGATAAGATGAAAAAACGGAGAGATCAAATAACATACATGATACATTGTACATTAATCAGTCAGTAGTTACACACCTGGGTTATGTGTAGGGTATTCCTAGTTTGTGTCGAGTTATGTATCCGTATAATAGACGATATTGACTTTCAGACTTATTTACAAAGGGAAATTATAAAGTTACCGTAGAAAAGTTTTGAAAAAAATCATGTTCAAGTAAGAATTAATATTGGAATAACCCATTTGTGTTTTCCTTAGCCCTCCGTCGATATTTTTAGTTAGATTTTGGCAATATGTTCTCTGACAGTCAGTCAACCGGTTATTTCAGTTGTTACGTTGCGACTAGTAAATGGATCAGGATCACATGAAGGAAGAGTTGAGGTGTTTGATAGAAGAGAATGGAAAACAGTTTGTGACGGATTCTGGGACGATAAAGGAGCATCTGTTGTTTGTAGACAACTAGGATATAGTGGGTAAATATACGACGCGGAATAATATATACACTTTATACAATAAAACAATCTTAATAGAGTATCTGGTGCTGTACTTGAATTAAAATATTGCCATATTTGGCTGTAATAAATGTTATTGTATTTGTGCGAATTAGTACACGAATATATAGTTATGTATTAATTCAGTGTAGTTTTGTTTGCATTGAATAGTTGAACGTATAATAATATTTTTATATTTTTAGGACAGGAGCAATAAGTAAACACAGAGCCTACTTTGGAGAGGGACGTGGGAATATAGTAGCCTGGGTATACTGTACTGGACGTGAAGAGTATTTAACTGAATGTAGATATAGTCGTTATTCTGTTGGCGGGTGTTCTCATACTGGAGACGCGTCTGTAATATGTAATGGTAAGATTATATTAAAGTATAGTTTATAATAATGATTCACATTTCGGTGATCCATATCCAAGGCATTGCTTCAATTAACTTACACGTTATGTACGAAACAGCTTCTTCTCACATTGTCTAGAACATCTAAAAATATTCTCATATAGGTAACAAACTGTAGTAATATACTGTTGTATGTAAATATAGGTAACAAACTGTAGTAGTGCACGGTTGTATGTAAATATAGGTAACAAACTAGTAGTTCAGTTGTATGTAAATATAGGTAACAAATTTTATGTATTTGCGTGCATCCGTGCACCTAAATTGCATACGTCACTCTACTCACCCAAAATCTTTAGTATAAAAAAACCTTGTCAACTTATCATGTTTGAAGAAATGGTTTTTTTTACCCTTATTCTTTTGTGAGTTTAATAAAGGGTTGGTCATTCTTGCTATAATAATTCAAAAATAGATGATGAAAAAAAGAAAATATTGAAAATTTCAGTCAAATTACTTCATTTTCAGCCAAGTTATCAGTGTTTGTAGTTATGACAAGATGTGTTCACAGTGGTAACCAGGGCACTGGTATAATCGGGACTTAGCCTCGCTTTTCCATTTTTAAATTAAATTTATAAATGGCGAAACCTTTTAATCTAGTTAATATCCCGAGTATCCGATGCCATCGAGAGTCGATTATTTTCTTGTTTTGTTAAAAAAATGTCTAATTAATAGTTTATATAACATTTCTGGGGTAAAAGGCAATAGGCAGATTTAGCTCTTGCATAATGTATGTTTAATATACGTACACCTAAATTTCTTACGTCACATAGTAGGTCTCAAAATAAGTGCTCACTGCAGTCTGTCTCAGATTAAATGAATTAATGAGGTAAACAATGCCAAAATAAAGGGAAAAATTTTGTGTGAATCCGTGCACCTAAATTGCAACGGTATAGTATAAAATAACCTAGTCAACTTGTCATGTTTGAAAAATAAAAAATGTTAGTATTAGAAATTGAGAGAGCCTGTATTATTGATTGTCATACCAATAACAATAGTCGAACAAATGGTACGAAGTTATCGGAAGCATAGTTTGTTTCAGAAATACGTAAAAAATCTTTAAATTATGAAATGTAAAGGCGATCTTTTGAACTTAAGAATTTTTTCTTGTTGCTTATTTAATCCCATTAGAAATTAAAACGTATTTTACTCATGTTGTAAGTATTTCCTAACCATCGGAATTCTGCAAAACCTTTCCCTAGACCCCAAAGTCCAGTAAATGGCATTTAGAGACCAAGTAAGCGCCCCCTTGAGACAAAGTCCGCTCAGGCCCAGTCCCAAAAAATTAAAAGTTCAGTTACATAATCTATTATGTCATTATTCTTCAACTCCTCTGTCTTATACAATCTCATCACTATCATATTCACAGTTACATTGAATCGCCCAGTTAGTAGTACCACTAGTGAGTGGGGCGACAGACTGTAGAATTGTTATTTCTACTCTAAAAAAAACACAGGCGAAATGGACGGACGGGGCTCAAGATTCTGTTCCATAACTTATCCCCTCGTGAAGGAGAATTTGGTCCCATTTGTCATGACATTGATTAAAATTTTTCAGGCCCAGTCCCCAAAAATTAAAAGGTCAGTTACATATCTGAAATTGTTTCGGGTCTGCGCCCCTAGATTCTATTATGACATAATTTTTTCACTCCTGTGGTCTTAGCACTATCATTTTCACGCTTATAGAGAGAGAGAAATGGGGTTTAACGTCCACTCGACACAAACTAGGTCATTTCGGGACTAACATATGGTTTAATCTTATTTCAATAATTCGCTTGCGCGTAGGGGTCTTTAGCAGTGGGAGGAAACCGGAGGATCCGGCGAAAACCCACGAGGTTGGACAGGCGACCCTACTCTTGTCACGTACAACCGGGGATTCGAAACCACGCCAGTTGACTTAATGACAGATTTTCTGATACAGCGCGCGCACGCTAACCATTCAGCCACCAAACCTTCACGCTTATAGTGAAATGCCCAGTTCGCAGTACCACTGGTGCGTGGGTCGTGGGGCGTCAGACTGTACAAATGTTGTGACAACTCTTGCAAAACAGGCGGAATTGACAGGGGCAGATTTCGAGATTCTGTCCCATTGACTCCCATTTCTGGTTCTCTCGTTCACAAGAATTTGCTCCCAGCAATGACCTCAAATGCCAGATATTGGTTTAATTTTTCCCATGTTGCCCAGTGTTAGAGCCACTGCCCCTAAGGTTCACATAAATTTATTAACAAAATCAATAACAATCATCATTATTATATGACATAAACTCTATGTCAACTTGAATAAAACGATTCGCGAACAACTATATAGGCAATACGATCTGTGTTCTACCGGGAAGCCCAGTGTTATAACCAATATGTTGTTGACATTCATTGTGGGGTGTGTTTGTGGATTGCGCCCTGGATTTGGAACCACCCCGCTCCACCCACCCCCTATTCCCAGCTTTTCTATTAACTCCTAGAAAACTGTCATCTGTGGTGCTTGGTCCCTGACTGCGTCACTCGTATTAGGGACATGTGCATCAGTCTTTTCCTTAACACCCCCCTCCCCCCAACAAAATCTTTATGTAACCCCTGCATCCTATAGAATCAAACTTTTCTTATTTCAGTGTTTCAACCAATCTACTGTTCATCGTAAGAGTCCGTCAAGGCATTCACCTAATCAACACCCACTGACACACCCACACACACACCACACACACACACACACGTTCCAATTTCACCATTTTATTGGTGAAATGAAAGCACCCACTAAGTTTCTCACTCAAATAGAATCGCAGTTATCGAGCCCCACTTTAGTAAATATATATATATATAATAAATATAATTATATATGATTAAATAACTCGGTGAGTAAGACGCTGGCTTGGTAACCTGGAGGTTCCGGGTTCTCTCTTGATGTTGGCCGAGAAAGCTCCTAGAGATTTTACCGTCGTAGTTGTCCCCATGTCAGCAGTACCTTGATGGACGACCTGACAGGGCAGTATCTAGTTGTTCGCATGGGACGTGCATGAAGAACGCCCTTGACAATTGAAATTCAAATAAGAATAGGCAGAGGCACCAATTTCCCTGACATGTCACACTGTATGGCTTTTGCCCGTCGTCATTAGCCAGTCGGTGGAGAAAGCCTTTCTAAGCTCGGGCGGTCCTTGATAACCATATTAACTTATATTTTGTCAACAGATGTTACATTGATAGGAGGCTCCAATGCTATGGAAGGACGAGTGATGGTATGGCACAACGGTTCATTTAAAGGAGTTTGCCGTGATGGTTTTGGACAAGAAGAAGCTCGTGTAGCGTGCCGTAATTTAGGATTTAACAAGTATGAATCCGTAATGTATTCCAATTCTGTATAACAGATAACGATAATTTTAACACAACGTCTTTAGTCAAATTCACCCAAATCAATTCGTTAATTATATTCTCGGCATTGATCAGGATCAATTGATTTTATGTGTTGGTTTGTTATATCGGTGAAAAGTCAGTAGATTAAACCAATGTGGGGCATTGATTGCGTGTTCATCAGTTGACAGTCTACTGAATCTTTCGGAACGAAACTGTAATGATATACATCGTGCCAATGTGTGTATTATCTTTCTATTTAATAGCAATGAAGATGTTAATCCTGATATAGCGACCCTGATATTAATGTTGAATTTATAATCTCTACCGTCTGTATCAACTTTCTATTTAATAGCTATGTCGGTGATCCTGATAATAATGTTGATTTGTGAATCTCTACTTTGTGTATCATCTTTCTATTTAACAGTGATGGTGGTGATCCTGATATTAATGTTGATTTTGGTAAAGGGTCAGGCCCTGTTCTGGTATCTAATATTAATTGTAAAGGAAATGAGTTATCTCTAAGTGCTTGCAAACATCCAGCATTTAGATTCGGAGAATGCGGTTGCACACCGGACTTCTCGGTCGTATGTAAATGTAAGTCTATAACACAAATCATTGGATTACATTTAGGTTTTAAAATGTCACTAGTCATTCTCAGAGGACATCTACGCTCGTAAGTTATAAAATATTTTAACACTCTGTTTGTATATCTTTAATTTAAACTAAAGAAATTACAAAACTGTGGCAAAGTAAGATTATTTCCAAAACGGATGATATCGATGACCTTGTTCTTAAGTATACGCGATCGATAAGATTTAATAATAGCCAATAATACAAACCAATCAGTCTAAATCAACACTTCATTTTGAAATACATCAAAGCGGTTAAGTTTATTATTTTTGATATTTTAGATCTGCTTTCGTCGTTTATTAACCTGGCCTTTAAAGGGGAGGACCAACGATTTTCATCAAGGTTTCCATAAATCTTAAATATGTATTTATATAGAATCCACGTGATGTTTATAATATCCTATATACAGCCCATTTGATCAGAATTTTGGCCAAAAGACGACGCATGGACAAAATACAGCCAGCAAACTTATGTCAAATCTGTATGCTTACTACAGAGACCAGTGAGCGTGTTGAACCAACTACACCACTTCCTGTTTAATAAAAATTAATTTCTCGCTTACGAAAACTTTTTTGCTGGTTTTACAGAGGGGATTAATTATCAATATATATTTAAGATTTATGGAAACCTTGTTGAAAATCCTTGGTCTTCCCCTTTAAGTAACCGCCGAGATCGTTGGGATATATACATATATTTTAACATGTCAAGAAAGTCCACAAGCTTACACGGAGAGCGGTCATTTTGTCAGACAGTGAGGGCCAGATTTTCACGAAATTCAAGCCAAACCTTCATTATGGTGCAACGGTTATATATTTTAATGGTTATTAAAATCAAATAAAAATTGTGACATCTAGAGAGTTCACAGGCTAAATAACCCTGGAAGTGGCGGTCCGTTATGCGCAACATACGTTTTAAGTTTCTTCAAAATCTGATAAAAATTGACACCTCTGATCTCGTGTGGCTAAACGCTAAAAATGTGTGGCTAAACGCTAAAAACGTGAATTTTCGAACAATCAGGGACCATAACCCATGAAATTACGGTCCGATACATCCCAATATCGAGATCTGTTGGATATAAACTTATATTCCAAGTTTCGTCAAAATCGGATTAAAATTGTGACCTGTGGAGTTCCCACAAATACAATGTGAACGGACGGGTGGGCGGACGGAGAGGGGGTGACAACATAGTTCCCAGTTTTAGAGAGATAACTGCTCAAGATATGGAGACCAGTTATTTTTTTTTATTTTTTTATTTTTTTTGCTGTTTTATTAGACACATACCACTGTAAATGTTGACGTTTATGAATGATTCGACTCCCTTTTCAAACTCTTATGCCAAATTACATGAATCACTTGTTTTATGAAATTGCTTACAAGACGTAAAACTAGTTTACGGAGACGTTCTGTAAAATTTAACAGCCATTTTTGTTACTGTTATTTTACAGTAATGTTTTACAGTGCACCTGGGTAATGTGTAGGGTTGGGGCGAGTTAGATCATAAAGTCTGTAATTTAGTCAAGTGGCGTCGTTACGATTCCTAGTTTGTGACGAGTTATGTACACATATGATAAACTACATGTACACGTGTACAATGTTTGTTACAGTGCACCTGGGTAATGTGTAGGGTTGGGGCGAGTTAGATCATAAAGTCTGTAATTTAGTCAAGTGGCGTCGTTACGATTCCTAGTTTGTGACGAGTTATGTACACATATGATAAACTACATGTACACGTGTACAATGTTTGGGTCATATTTATAAATGCTAAAAGATAACGACTGCCAGACTTATTTTCAAAAGGAAATTATAATGTTATCGGGCCAATTGCTACGATGTATTAGAACAAAAACATTTTGAACTTAATCATTTTCAAGTAAGAATTAACATTTCCATATAAGTATAACTGTTGCGTTTTCTTTAGAGCTCAGTCGACATTTTGAGTTAGATTTGGGTAATATTATATCTAATGGTCAGTCTACCGGTTATTTTAGTTGTTCCGTTGAGACTAGTAAATGGATCAGGACCACATGAAGGAAGAGTTGAGGTGTTTGATAAAAGAGAATGGAAAACAGTTTGTGATTATGGATGGGACGATAAAGAAGCATCTGTTGTTTGTAGACAACTAGGATATAATGGGTAAATATACGACATGGAATAATATATACACTTTATACAATAAAACAATCTTAATACAGTAATTGATGAAGTGCTTGAATTCAAATATTGTCATATTTGGCTGTAATAAATGTTATTATTTGTGTGAATTAGTAGAGGAATATATAGTTAACTATAGAATATTAATTCAACGTATATTGTTATTTATTAACTATATAATATTATTTAGTTTAGGTTTGTCTACATTGAATAGATGGGTAATAAAAGATTATATATATATATATATATTTGCCTCACTATTGAAAACAGAAAAAATCTATAAACTTTTTAGATGTAACAGTTATAGTGCCAAATAATGGCGAATTAAAAACTGACCTATATTACAAACCAACAGATACACACCAATACTTGACATACGATTAAAACATAGACTTAACATTAGTTTCAACATATAACCCAACTCAAGAAATAGCCAGTGATGTAATAAATAAACATACTCATTTATTAAGAAATAGTAAAAAATGTCTGAAATATGGGATACCAAAAAGATTATAAATTCTTATAAACAACCCCCAAATTTACGACGAATACTTACTTTTTCAAAATTTGGGTCTGAAGTCACAGAATCGAGTGTCACAAAGTGTGGGGACAATAGATGTAAAACTTGTGACAACATTATTGAACGGAAAACAGTAAAAATTAATGAAAATGTAAATTTTAAAGTAAATCAATCTATGACCTGTAAAAGTAAAAATATATGATATGTCCAGGTTGTAATGAAAAGTATATAGGCAAACCTGAATCACAACTCAACATAAGGATGAACCTACACAGATCCCACATTGCTAATCCCAAACACAGAATGATTCCACTAAGCGAACACTTAGATACATGTGGAAAGGGTTAATTTAGGGTTTTCCCTTATGTAAACTCAACTGGTCGGATAATAATTTGCTAGAAAATAAAGAACGGCACCCTAAATTAAATGCTGCATAATTTTATATGGTATTTGATTTTCTAAAATATTTATATTTGATATTATTATTGTCATGTACATAATATTATGTATTAATAACGCCATTACGTCATGTAATTGTTTACTATCTCATTATTAAATGTCTGATCCCCGTAGTGGGTAAAAGCGCTAGCTAAGATGAAATTAGCTATTTCTTTCTAAAAACCTTATCCAAAATACTAAGATTTGAATGGAAAAATCTGTATTTAAATTACATTTACATATTTGCCAATATCTTTCGGCCGTACGGCGTCTTCAGGGCTGTATACAAAAGACAATAACGTCGCTTAGTTACATAATAGCGCGACATTAATAAGGGGAAATAACTCCAGTATGACCCAATCAAGTTGTAATTTTATAATCAAAATAATGTTCATTTCAATCGCCGGTTCCGTCTAGGAGAAATAACAATATAAGTCTGATATCATCTGGATATCTGTGGTAAAGGAAAGTTCAAAGTCGCGCCAATATATAAGTTAAATTTCATAAATGAACAAATATTGGAAGTCAAAGAGAACTGACTTCTAGAGCAGGGAGGCAGAGAAATGGGGTTTAACGTCCACTCAACACAAACTGGGTCATTTCGGGACTAACATATGGTTCAATTTTATTTCAATAATTCGCTTGCGCGTAGGAGTCTTTAGCAGTGGGAGGACCCGGAGAAAACCCACGAGGTTGGACTTTAGAGTAGGCACTCAGGACACAAAGGTAGAACTGCAACAAATACATTACAGATTTATGGGAAGGGTGCGCTTACTCGTCAGCTAAACACGACTAAAGCCGAATGATCAGAGTCGGCCACACTGACCTCCTGCCTAGGTGAATTGTGAGTCAAGGCAATGTGTTGCAGAGAGAAAGGCCTCGCGAAACAAATGCTCGCTCAATGACCAGGATTCCACCGACACAGGTCGCAACGCACGTCAAACACGTTGCCCCATTACATGGATCCTTTTAGTCGCATGCCATGACACGCAGGACATACGAAGGGTGTATTCTTCTTACACCGGGGGGGGGGGGGGGGTGCGTGATAAAAGAGAATGGAAAACAGTTTGTGATTATTATTGGTACGATAATGCTACATCTGTGGTTTGCAGACAACTAGGATGTAGCGGGTAAAAATACAACGTGAAATAATATACGCTCTAGCATATGCAACAATCTTAATACAGTGCTTGAATTATATTATTGCCATTTTTTGCTGCAATAAATGTTATTGTATTTGTGCGAATTAGTACACGAATATATAGTTTTGTATTAATTCAGTGTAGTTTTGTTTACAATGAATAGTTGAACGTATAATAATATTTTTATATTTTTAGGACAGGAGCAATAAGTAAACGCCGCGCCTACTTTGGAGAGGGACGTGGGAATAAAGTAACCTGGGTACGATGTAATGGACGTGAAGAGTATTTTACTGACTGTAGATATTATTATATTAGCGCGTGTCGTCATACTGGAGACGCGTCTGTAATATGTAATGGTAAGATTATATTAAAAGTATTGTGGAGATATGAATATAGTTTATATTACTGTATTTACTTTATGGTCATCCATGTCCAAGACATTACTTTGTTAACTATACGTTTTGTTGGGAGCAGGAGCTTCTCACATTGTCTTGAACATCTGAAAAATCTTCTAATATAGGTAACAAACTGTAGTAGTACACTGTTGTATGTAAATATAGGTAACAAACTGTAGTAGTACACTGTTGTATGTAAATATAGGTAACAAACTGTAGTAGTAGTAGTACTGTTGTATGTAAATATAGGTAACAAACTGCAGTAGTATACTGTTGTATGTAAATATAGGTAACGTACTGTTGTATGTAAATATTTTAAAATACTTAAATTAATCTCCGTAAACTTTGGTCATAAATTGAATTGCAATGTGAATGGCTAATAAATAGTTTAATGACTATTCAGATGTACGTATTGCGGGCGGTTTGGGGGGATTAAGTGCTTACTATAATACTCCATAGGTATACTATTTGTTTCATGAGTCACATCCCCAACCACGTTGAATGCCAAACTAAGTTACAATATACATAATCTGTGGGCATTCTACGCCAAGTTTGAACATTGTACCTCAATTAGAGACAGAAGTTACTACTTAGTCTAGTTAGTCAAACCATTCATACCCCCGCAACAACTACCGCATGAACAACCACTACTCCTTCCAAACAAACAACAAGCAGTGCTACTTAAAAACAAGTACCTATACGTTTTCAACTATACGTTCCCAAAGCCTGTAAAATATACTTACACTTTTAGGTTCTTTGAGTCGGTTCATGATGACAACACTGGTTTAATTTCAAACGTTACTTTTATTATTCTTCACACATATCAAGTACAAAACGTCTTATAGTTAAAGACTCCAGAATTAGCTTGTGTTGAGGGAGCCATGATCCTAGCTTGGCTTGTCACTCTTGGTCCCCAACTAACTTACATGGCCCCTGTCCGGTCTTAACTCAGACGCTCTCGCCTTCACAGAACTATCGCCTTTTTCATTCTTGCTTATATCCCCCATCTAGACAAAGGATCTGACAAGATTGCCAGACAAAGGACTAGTGAGTGGGGATAGCCGACATAAAGATATTCTAATCAATTCTACTGTCAACTGTCAAGATGGCACGATAACTATCAATAACATCTGCCATTATGTAACACGGGTTAATGAGTTATTTCTCCAAAGGATCATATCAACTATTTATTCTTATTCCTTTAGTCACTATTACCTTTACATTTGTACTTCAGAAACTTCCAAAACTACCACTAGTCCGTTAGCAACTACCAAGACTCTAGAATCATCTGCACAATCTTCTACCATTTCCCAAGAAATACCAGGTAACGATTAACAAACTGGGATTCCATTTCAAGAACGGTAACCCGTTTTAATTTACAATACATTTTTAACAGCAATATGAATCGATTTCTATTCGCTATTTTATGTAGAAAATGGAACTTTGGATTAGTTGATTTGCAAGGATTATTTTACGTAGAAATCTGATAGGCTGACATTTGTGAACATTTGTTTTATTACTTCAGTAGGCTCTCCACCAAATTGCAAACCAGGGGTTCATGAATTTGAATTTTATATAAAAGCTGGCAACCTATCCTTGGACAATCTGTGTATGGACATTGGTTCATTTGATAGCAGTTCACTGTGTTCTGACGACGACGATGCTTTGATATTTAGCATCAATGAGGATCCATTTGGTTTCTTTAAATTGTTTAAACTCTTAAGGAATAAACAAATACTGAAGCCATGTTTGCGCCTTACAGCGCTATACCAGATACAAGAAGCCAAAGCACCGGTAAGTATTATTTACGTATGGGTGTTATATATATAGATGTTGGAGTAATCCATCCAGATATGATTTGTGATCTACTGGAAATATACGTCAGGGGCCAGGTAGAGCGGACGCAATGACACGCTCTCATTCATGGTTTGTTGATTTTGGAAATATTTACGTCTTTTCAATGTGGTTTTAAACATTATAATCATAATCATTATACCCAGTCAGTGTCAAACAAATACCTATATAAATATCCCCCCACACCCACAGTCCCCTCAGTCGGATCTGGCTCCCCTTCAAAATCCACACTAATACACACACACACAGTCATTGTTTGATCTGAGGTACCAAGCGGCTGGGGTAAATTTTAATATGTATGTATCTTGAAAGTAGCTAAATCTCTTAACTCAATACCATCCAAAGTCTTCGACATTAAAAACACGAATGTTCGGTCAGTTTAAATCAACATTGATGTTGTGATCTTACCGGGTAATGATGGGCTTCTGATATCCAATAATCAAGATAAAATAAACATTTTACCATTGGTACATGAATCGCGTACCATAATGCGTTTCAGCGCCATTTGGAACAAGGGACTCGAAGAACGAGGCTAGACATATTCCAGACGTCATGTCAAACAGTGACCCTATATTCTTTTGTAGAAAGCATGCGCAATAAATACTATCGGTGTAGACTGGAATAACCAGACGCTAGAGATTGCCATTCGATTGCGACTTCTGGCTTATTTCGGCGAACATAACTGTTTAGTAATTACAGTAAAAACAGAAACGACTGAACGTAAATCAGTTTATATACATTCATATTACATTATTATATGCGTTGCGACCAATTTGTGTCAATTTCTAGGTCCCAAATATTAGTGATTTAGCTCCTTTAATTGAAGTTGTCAAGAACAACATGTCTTTTATGAACAACCTTGATAATAAACCACGATTCATATTAAAATATCTCTTTTTACAGCTTACCATAATAGCAAAGGAAGATTCTTCACAGGGTAGAACAGCAATCCTAAACATATTGATAACATTTAATCGGCCACCAACAGTTGCACATAGAATTATTAACTGGATTGTAAATATTGCTGAACTTGGCGCACTCGATGTCATAAAGCAATCACAAGCACAGGATTCTGGTAGTATAACACTCACTTCTGTTAGTAAGTAAACCTGATTTATACTCTTACAAATAAAAGTCATTTTAACAATTAATTACCCTTTCAAATATAGCAACACTATCCACGCCCCATTTGTATGTATTTCCCAGTTGTACCGATACACTGCAGAACGTACACTTTTTTTTATAACTTCTTTATTGGGTATTAGGATGGTTTCAGTTTTCCCATTTATGAATTGTTCTTAATTTTTACCCGATCCTGACTTTCTTGGACTCGTGGGTTCCTGTCGTGGCTATTGACATATGTTTACTAATCTGACTTCGAAGATACTCACTGGGTCTATAAGGTTCAAATTAATTTGTTCACGTGACACTGATCATCACGAGACGGTTTGGTACCAAAACAATTGAAACTACTGATGTTTGAAGATCTAAAGACTTGAAGGCCAGGAATTGAGTGGGACAGACACAGTAGGCCCGCAAGAAGATGCAGAAAACTGGATTCAACGGTTTTTATATCTAGGGTAGTTCCCTACCAACAGTCTTCCATAATCTGATATGCAGATCTGGGCGAAAATCGATAATTAATTCAGGATAACGGATGATGATGTGAAATGCCTTACATACAATGTCAAATATCTGGGAAAGGGACAATTTAGTGATTTCTACAAGGTTCAAATTAGTTAAATAATTTGTTTACCTGATACAAATTATCAAAAGACCACTTTGGTGTACGAAAACATTGAAAATGTCGATCTTCGATGATCTACTAATAACTCTTGGTAAAATGATTTGGATAAAATGTTTCAGATTACCAAGAGAATAGTTTGGTTTCTGCAACCATCAACAAAAATAAGCTGCATCTGCACCATAGGAAAATTAGCACTAACTATGATATGCAAAGAATAAAATTGCAAGTCAAAGTAGGTTTATTATTATATCACGCTGTTTTATGTTATGTATACTGTAGGGGTGGGTGCCAAAACACAGTCTAATTCTGTTGGCGACATTCAATCTTTAGGCCTGGTTTCCACTTGTCTGACCTGATATGGAATGAGGGGCAATTGTCTAATTAGTGGCGTAATTGGAATACCGGCTCAGAAAGAGGGGCATTTAATCTCAATCTGCTTCAACAATAATAATTACCGAAGTCACTTGTGTGAGCCAATTCACGTTCAATCCATGCAGACGCTCTTCACCCGTCGTGCTTCTTAAAATGTTCTTGAACAGCTTCAACCTGCTGAATGTCCGTCAGCTTGGGTGAACCGTATCGAGATTATTTGAGGTGATAAAGGGAGTATCTCTGAGCTGGATAGGGTTGTTTTCTACCACAATTCATTATAATATTCTATGAATGATGAGTAGTTATCATATAGCAGAATCTCTGTCGGATCCCCGTTCCGTTATTATCGTCGTAATGACTTGGAATCGAACACTAGAAATTTGTTACAAGATCATGTTATTCAGCGAAAGGATCACCGAAACTATTGATTACTCTGTCCAAAACTTTGAAATAAACAATTGCATTTGAGATCATTTATTTCTAATGTTTCATCATCAGCGCCTTCATCATTGAACCACTTCTTTCTCCGTTTTATTTTAGTTTCACCTCAAACCAGGGATTTGTGCAGGAAAATGTTCGGGGTGGGGGCTGTATACTCTCTCTCTCTCTCTCTCTCTCTGTCTGTCTCTGTCTCTCTCTCTCTCTCTCTCTCTCTCTCTTGCACCTGCGATCATTGATTTTCAGGTAATGGGATCAGTAGTGTGAATCTGTGAAGTGTGGCCCAATATTATTTAACGTGTGTCGATGTTGCTTTAGATCGACCTGTAGGTTCCATTACCTGCGCTTGACGCGTGTGCCGCCCCACATGGATCGACTAGTGACAACGGTCCCTAAGGCATACAAGTGGGATGAACTTTCTCGGCCAATGCAGGGATCGAACACTCGACCTCCAGGCAACTGAGCCCTTGTGGCCCCTATGATGTAAAGGACCGTTGACATTCTGGTATATCTCGCAGTACACTAGCAATACACACAAAAGGTGCTGTTGCGAAACTTTGTTGTCTGTGTTTGTTTATTAATGTTATTATCAAGCTGAAGTGTTGTTCTTCTATGATTTAGATGTCAGATGATGGTAAACCAAGTTTATCAACAAATGTAACAGTACAGATAGTTATAGTAAGGTTAGAATGCACTTCAACTAACAAGATAGCGGTAAATATCGGAGAACTTCAGAGTGTTAAAACTCTTCCAATTGGCCAGATTAATTGTGCAGTTTCTAGAGGATATTCAGTCCGTTATGATGTCATACACACAGCACTGCAACAAGGTAGTACTATTAAAGTGTTTAAAGGGATTTCAGATTTTTTAAAAACAGTATGACACACACACCACCGTGACGCATTATATGTGTTCAATTGTAAATGATGTACTGTTAAACATACCTTATGTCAATATGTTTCACAGAGTATTACGAAAGACTTCTAATATATCTGTAAAAGATGACTGCCTTCAACACATGACGTCATATCACGCGGCGTCAATCATTGGCTCAATGGCGCGTGCATTGTTTACATAAGACGTTACTGATTCGAGCAGAATGGCGCCTTTTACTCATTTTCATACCCATTTACACTAAAATAGGAAATAATTTTTACCTACAAATAGTTCAAACGTCTTTATTTATTTTTCTAATACATAAAAAAAATGTTTTAGAATTTAATTTGTCTTTATTCACTGCGGATCATTGTGACCTTATGCAAAAGCTAAATATGCCTATTGCAGGTCTTTCTTTAGGCGTGAAATGTTATCTAAATTAGTAATTAGACATTAATTAACTTATCCAGACCATAATCAACTCTCGATGTTATCGCTAGCCTGTAATATTTACTGGATTTGATGATTAAATCCAAAAATGGATAATCGAGACTATGTTTTATCGTACCTACTTTAGTAATGGTGATCGAGGCTAGGCCTAGAATTCAAAAAGCTAATATCTCGGTTCAGAGTTGATCAATTTGACTGAAAATTTCAGAAAATACCCTTTACATTATCTAGTTTTTAACTATTATAGTGAGAACTGCGAGATCTTTATCTAATCTTCCATAATGCCCCTTTAAGTGATCGAAATATTATGTGTATGTTTATTGTTGAATTTGTGATCTGCATAACGATTGTCAGTGGTCCAGGAAAGAGGGCCTGCAACGGACAACGTATAGTCATTTGGATATTACAATAAACCGAGGTCCGTGTACACATTGGCGTACACGTATCATTTGGAATTCGATATCGCCGTTGCCCAGACAGATTTGCCCCCATAGCACACTGTATGGCGGATGTCCGTCTTCATTAGCCACGTTGGAGCAGAACAGTAGGACGTTAAACCTCATTTCATCACAGATTCAGATAGAACCTCATTTCATCACAGATTCAGATAGAGCTAGAGTAATGAGCAGTCCACAAGGAATTAACATATTTTTAATAGCAATATATCTGGGATTTCCCATTTAATATTTTCTATTAAACATTTCAGGACTTGAATTGAGCTTTCATGATGGTATAGTGAGTATAATTCAAGATGGCGTCACCACGAGTGTGGCTAAAAAAGAAGTCATCGTTGTTAATGTGATAATGGTTCAGTTCCCGTCTATACATGTCAATGTTAAGTTTCAATTAGAATTTGGTAAGTTTTAAACTGACTGCATACCCAACGCCACGAGCTTCGAGTATCTGACGAATCCTTCCATTTGGTCCATGACAAGACATGATCTTTAATCTCTATTTTCTGCTAAGCACTGTTTATTTGATTGTTCAACTTTTGTTTTCCTTCGATAATTACTGCCGAAATCTTTAGCATTAATATAAATCAAGGTGACATGGGATTCCAAAGTATTTAAAAGGCACTGAATTTATATAATCACTATGATTACAGCTTTTTATGGACTAATGTGGTTCCAATCTACGTACATATCTTGGACAAGAGAACTAACAGATAATTCAACCATGGAATACAGAAACCAAGTAAAGAATGTTACAGACATGGTATGTCAGTTTTTGTTTTAAATAGCAGAGATTTGGATCAATATGTATTTATATAATGTTCTAAATCATGTCTTATATTTACCTATTTCATTTAGCTATTTCATTTTCCTCTTCTATCAACAGATAAGTAAAGTTGTAGATAAATCAGTTAGCGTGCATATAATACAGTTCAGGTTGGTTATTTATGCAAATTTATATAATATTATTTACAAGTTTATGATTGCCAGGTTGAAAGACATCATATTTTACACAGTATATAAAACTTGGTATCTGGAATCCGGTGAAAATTTTCATATGTTATCATGATAAAATCACGATTTCTCGGATATCAAAATTTACCACATCAACTGAAGACTAGGCGTTATATCACATTAAATATCTTTAACACATTTCAAATGTAGCTTTGTTCCTTTCATTTCAGGCAAGATTCTTGGGTAGATGTTCACCTCATATGTTCTAACCAAGCCGTTTGTAAAAAGACCGAATCGTTACTTCTGCACCCTGCTAGTTTTAGTGATTCTGGGATTCTCCGTGGGCGAGTCCATTTTAATAACAGAAGTAATTATAGCTGTATTATATGTTAAGCCCAAAATCTGTTATTTGTTGACCATAAATCTATTGTGTAAACAAATTTATGTTTTTGCGTGTCTTTACAATGTTTGTCAATAGCATTACAATTGTCGATTCAAAACAAGTTTGTTTATTATTTGGCCCTTCGAAATTGTTTCATCTAGACACAGAAAAAAACATACAAGGTAGCATTTAGTTAAGTAACAATAAATATAAGAGCAATGTACTTGTCTATGATATCACCTTAGGTGGAAGTGGACGTAAAACTCTAGGAGCGAACGAACGAACAACAATGTGACGTGGACGATGCATTCACCTAAAGGAAATGTGATACCAGTGTTTAACATTATTTACTATAATATGCAATATATGTTGTATTTACTATAATATACAATATATGTTGTATTTACTATAATATACAATATATGTTGTATTTACTATAATATACAATATATGTTGTATTTACTATAATATACAATATATGTTGTATTTACTATAATATGTTGTATTTACTATAATATGTTGTATTTACTATAATATGTTGTATTTACTATAATATACAATATATGTTGTATTTACTATAATATACAATATATGTTGTATTTTGCATACACAAGATGAAGTACAAGTTCTTTGTAATAGTGATGATGTTAAAATTCATGTTAAATCCATTCCATACATTGAATACATGTATACTTTTAGGTAGTCATATATTTGTTCCAACTCTCAAAATACTGAACAAGGCAAAACACATCCTGGGTGGCGATACTGTTATCATCTTCTGTGAGGCTGATGTTATAAAGCCAGTTGGTTCGGTTTCTGTGGAATGGACATTAGATGGTGCCGTTGTTCGACCTTTGTTGTCATCAAGATTCCAAATCTCGACCGGATTGGAGTTCCCATGGCGATTACAGTCTAATTTAACAATTACAAATATTAAAATGATAGACCAAGGTAATGAAATAATTACTAACATCGCTAGATATCACATGGCGATTTATATAAACTAATAAGTCAAACATGTAATAAGATCATCAAGTTATTGCAGCAATATCACACCAAAATGGTTACAAACATTAAATAAGATTTATATTAAACGTGGTATATCAAGTTATTGCAGTATTATACACATCAGTAGATATTACTCGCAAATGGTTGACATTATACCAAACATTCGATAAGATTAATATTGAAATGGTAGTTCAAGGTAATGAAACATTACACACGTCTCTAGATATTTTTTGAAAATAATTCAGTTTAATTTAACAAAGATTAATGAAGCACATTACTAGATATTGGTAAATCCGACATTAAAATAAGATTTACATTTATAAGGACATGCATTTGAATTCTGGTGGATTTTCAGGTACAGTACAATGTCATATTAGTGACCTAAGTCGTTATGGAAGAAAAATTGGGAGTATTCCTTTGGCAATTATTTCTCCCCCAACTGTCGGTGTTCCAAAAACCCAGTATGTCAGATGTGGTATAAGCATCAACTTAATGTGTGAAGTTTTAAAACCAGTCGGTGTATATACAACTTTGATGTGGGTAAAGGATGGAATTAATATACAAAATGGCAAGTATATAGTATAAAGTGATTTACAAATTAATTAAGTGTCTTATTGTCTTATTTTAAGGTTTAAGATAACCATAAAACAGTAGCATTTTCCTATGGTGAAGTACTGTAACGTAATATCTGGCTTATTGACCTGTCGTGTCTATAGTACTATATTTTATTCTATTTCTGTTTTCTAGGTTCTGAATTGAACAGGGTTGTGGCCAGGGATACCAATTTAACATGTATTGGATTAAACATAGCCGGTCGGGGTAAAGGCAACACAACCAAGATAATCATCATTAAAGGTACCAAATATAGTATAAGTAGCTAAATGTTCTGGTTTCTTTGTATTGAATAATGAGAAAATCTTAAATAATGTAAAGACAAAGAAATGATTCTAACCTAGATTTATATTTTGTGACGCACTCTTGACAACATTTTCGTATTCATTGCGAAAATACAAACTCGGCCTATTATGTGCCCTTTTCAGAAGCTTAAATGTTTTTCTATGATTTAAGGACCGCTAACCTGTCCACGTGATACTGATGAAAGAGGAACACATTGGCCGGAAGCGTCACAAGATGCCACAGCTGAACAGTCTTGCCCATTGGGATACGCAGGTAATATTTCACGCAATATAATTGAAAATACAACAACAATTTAATTCGTTTGTTACACCACGACTTGGCTGTATGGGCTAGTTCTGTAAAGAGGGGAATGTGACTGGCCGACCCCAGGGGACACCAAATCTAGAATTAAATTAAGCCTGTTCGTTTGGAAATGCCTTAATAATAGTAGACTTAAGGCTACCTCCTACGGTCACTACCTCCTGACTCTTCTTCGAATACCGTAGTCCGTGAGATATGTTCATGTACTATAATCAGGTTTCTATAGAATTCATTGAGGAGTTGACATATAGCTACGATATTCTGTCGCATATTTTTCTTATATTATCTTAATTGACAAACTTTCCCCGTCTTCATTAGCCCAGTAGGACTTTTCATTTCCGTTCTTTCTTTATAGGTAGTGTATCTAGATATTGTAATAGCGATGGGAAGTGGTTGACGGAAGATTACAGTTCGTGTATTCAAGCATCATTGACAACCATCATGAATCAGGTTACGTTATTACACACATTCACCACTTGTATTGAGCTAAATACAGCATGACAGTTTTTTTCTAATCTAATTACATCATTTTCTTGAGTTTAGCTTTTCTCGATATAATTTGAATAGTAGTTGGGATTCTGGACAATTGTGATGGGATATGCGATGCAAGAAAGACTCATTTCGATGTAAAAGAAAATAATCTGTTGACCTTCAATCACAAAACTGTATAATGTAATTGAACATCCGACAGGGAAACATACATTTTGACAGATGACAATTATATAAACGGAATTTGTTACTTATGACACAATTCCCTATATATCTTCAATCACAAAATCATCAAATTCCTAACAGCCTAAATCCGTCCATAACAGATGTCTTATCACTCTCAAAATGTAAACAAGAACTCTCTAAATATGACCCGAAAATACCTCTCTTTTATTATATTGGCAAACGTAAAAATCAAATTATACATACTAGGCTGCAGTAATCTAAATTTTCATAAATTTACAAGACATATTTCAAATACTCCCGAATGTTCATGTGGTAATTCAATAGAAGATTCTTATCCACTACCTCCTTATATGTTCCTCGTATTCAGATGCTCGCCATAGAACAATCGACACAGCAAAACATTAAAGTGCTACTATGTGGATCGGAAACACTAACATACGACGAAAACGTGTCAATATTTAGCGAGGTACATAATTTTATCGAACAAACCGAAAGATTTAAATTTTAAAAAAATAGCTGATTTTAATTATTTCAAATTTATGTTTACATGTAAATATTTTTATTGGGTTATGAGTACATATATATATATATATACTATTCAAAAAAAGTAGGGGATATTTGATTTTTAAGTGTTATTAAAGTCACCTAATGAAACTGACGAAGAAACAAATGACAAAATGAAATGAAGTTCACATTCATCGATTTATTTCAAATGATCGTTAGACTAAGTAAGGCACAGACTGACCATTATAAGGGTAAAATGATACCCGGGGTCAAACAGCAAAGTTACCACAGCATCACAACCAAGTCAGTAACGGGTAAATCCTCCTCTGTTTGCCAAACAAGCATTGATCCGACGTGGCATACTCCTAATGAGACGTCTAAGGTCATTTTGGTCCAGATTGTCCCATTCCTGTTGCAACGCAGCAGCAAGTTCTTGGATAAATCGATCCTGGGCTTGAGTTGTCGCCCTTGGTCGACCTGAGCGTGGTCTGTCCTGTACAGATTGTGTATCACGGTATCTGGACCATAGCCTGCTTATGACAGACTGAGAAACATTCATCGTCCGCGTCACAACCGCCTGTGTTGTGCCGATCTGTAGCATGCCAAGGGCACGTAACCTTTCATTTTGGGTAAGCCGACGCATATCAAAATTTGTTTTCTGCTCACTAAAACAATTAAACTGATGTTTCCACCCTGGAATTCAATGCCACAATGACTGTAACATTCAAAGTCAGAGTCGTGCATATCTTGGGTTGGACCCCCATGATGATTCCAAGCATCACCTGCATTCCATGCGGTAGCTATTGGTGCGTTTGGGCGTCACATGTAACTGGAAATGTTTCTTCTGTTAGGTTCTATAGTGACTTTTTTCATAGTCATTTGCATATTTTAGTATTATGCCCCCAAAATCAAATATCCCCTACTTTTTTTGAATAGTATATATATATATATATATATATGACTATTCATTTTTTTTCTTCTTTGTTTTTTTTTTCAATATATTGTATATTATGTAATTTATTTGTAACCGGAAGAGGGGTTTATATAGGCTTTGCCTGTTCCCCAATCCCCTCAGTTTCTGAATAAATATTGTTTAAAAAAATCTTAATAGACCGTCCGAAATGCAATGAAGTGTAATAGACCTTCCGAAGTGCAATGAAGTGTAATAGACCGTCCAAAATGTATTTCATTTTGTTTATTTATTTGGGTTATTTCAGATTGAACAGGTAAAAGCCGGAATTGTTGTTTCCGAACCCGATAAGTTGCTAGCCAATCTGACCAAAATAACCAAACAATCTAAATTAGAGAAGGGCGAAATTCTTCATATGATAAGTGCTATGAAAACCCTGACACAAATTACAAATGAAACAACCCAAAACTTGCCCTCAGCCCAGAATAAAACTAAACATTTTGCTAAGGTAAGTGATTACACTATTACCCTATATATTATAACATTTAATGTAAATCTAATTTTAACCTCTTGATCAGTGATCAATTTGAGTATTTGTGGGGTAGATACAAAGTATATAAATATGTTCACTTTCTACTGGAATGTTATTTGTTTGTACAAATCGTGAGTTCAGTTGTATTGGTATTCATATTTGTAGGAATCAGTAATACTGGTCAGCGCATTATTTGACTCTGAGCAATCTGAAAATATGAAGACACTTGAATACGAGGTAACAATATTTATAATTTACATATTATAGTCACAAGACATACAGCAATTGAAGGCCATTTGCCTAAAATCTAAAGGAACCAAATTCCATGTGAACAAAAATCCGGTGGTGTGTATTTGTGAAGAATCATGCCCATCGGAGACATGAGTAGACTAAGCTATTTTCTTTTATTTTTGTTGAACGTTTTTAAAACTATTTGGTATGCCTGCGAAGTAAAGGATAACTGTTCAAATTATAACTCAGAAAAACTAGAAAAAGTGCAGCTTAAAGCTGCCCTCACGGTAACTGGTTGCACTATTTATGCATCTCGTGAATCGCTTTATTTTGAGACTGCATGGACTAAATTACATGATCGCAGAAGGATAAGACGATTGTGCTTACTACATAAGCTTATTCACAAAACAGGACCGTCTTATCTTCAAGACATAATAAGTTATCATAGCAATAGTTATAATCTTAGAAACTGTAATGATCTAAAAGTACCACTTGTTTGTTTAACTGTAACAAAGAACTCATTTTTTCCTAAAACCATTCAACAATTTAATAGTTTACGTCCGGGTTTAAAATCCACTCTATCTTTATCTGAGTTTAAAACCAATATCAAGACTAAAGTCAAACCTCCAAAATTAAGAAACATTGGTAGCAGAAAATTATCCATTTACCATAATCGTATACGTCATACCTGTAGTGATCTAAATTATGATCTTAATAAATCAAACATCGTTCAAAATCCATACTGCAAATGTGATAATAAAAGCATTGAAAATTCATTTCACTACTTCTTTGATTGCTCAAAATATGTGTTACAGCGCCATCACTTACTTGCATAAAATTTATTTAGATGGTTCTACTCTATTTCCTAAATCTTTTAATATCCACATTTTTCTCACCGTACAAAATTACATAAAAGAAACGAAACGATTCACATGTAATCTGTAGCTATTATTCTAATTCTCCAGTGGTTTATCACTGTTAATAATCATTGAGCATGTAACGAAATGGACTTATTTATTATCCTAAGGTAGCATGTATATATGTATATAACTATGTATTAAATTAAATTTCAGTGGTAATTGTAAATATTTTAGATTATACTTGGATAATATTCGTAAATTGTACAATTTGTTCTGATCCCGTTTGTATTATACGCATATACTTATATGTATGTATTTGCAAACAAACAATATTATATATAAAACTATTTGGTGACTTTATTATCATATACGAAATGTCTATAATTTGTTTCCCTCATTTAGAATAGCAGTATAATCAAAGATTTAATGGAAACGATGGACAAAGTGAGTAAACTAGTTGGGGAAAATCTACCGGATGGAAATTCTGAGACATTTCAATCCGAAAATATTGGTAAGATTTATAATATAAAGGGTGTTCAATACAAAATCAATTAGTGATTTCGTTTTGCAATATACTAAAAGATTATTCAATAAAAATAATCGTGATTATTATTGATGCGCTATGTCGTTTTCTAACATTAATATATGTTTCGAAAATATGATTATTTTGTGTTTACAAATTGACGAGGGACCGGAAATATAACTGTTGATACTGATACAAATTCTGGAAAAAAAGCTCTAAGCGTAACGTGACTCTTGCGTCGTTGTTTCGTATAGTGTGTTTGCTGGTTGTGATATACTATGTCAAAAAAGAAACGCATGGGCGTGGCAGTCGTCCTGCAGTGCATGTGACAGTTGCGGAAGCGTCAGGGACACCGGGTGAAGCCGACATAGATGTCTGTCCAGTTTATCCCAAGGATATTCAATGGGGTTGACATCTAGCGATCTTGGTGGCTATAACAGCAAATTAATGTTCTCATTCTGTAGGAAATCAATTATTACACGTGCTGTTTTACGTGCTCTTAATCATCCAAAATGGGAAGCATGTCGCTGTTAAGAATTCCATCCCGGAAGTAAACACCTGTTAGGTTACATTGTACGAGAACAAGTTCACTTCTGCTGCTGTAGGAGATGGCTTCCAACATCATGACACACCTCTACCGAATGTGCCAACTTGCTCAAAGCAGTTGTTGTCAAAACTTTCATTGCGACGCCTGTACATATGCTGTCTTCCATTTCGTGGTTGTAAATGGAAACGTGACTTGTCGCTTAACAATAATCGTCGCCAGTTTCCAAAGTTCCACCCCTGTTTATTCATACATCAGTGAACCCGTAAACGTCGAGGTCGAGGTCAACAGGACGGGGCCAAAATAGGGTTTGTTAGCTTATAAATCAGCTTCTCGAAGTCGGTTCCGAATTGTTGGTGCAGACACCTTCACATACTTGGCTCTCGTCAAGTAATGAACCCACATGTAGCGATCTTGCTTTGTACTGCAGTTGTTATACGACTTCTTCTACTTCGGGGACGGTTTTATACTGATTGGAACTGCTGGTGCTTATCTCAGAGGCCTGGAATAGTGCTCTGATGCACGTTCGTGTGTTGTATGACAAAATACGCGATTAATCTACCCGGAGGTGATTCGGCGAGTTTAGTCTTGGTTTCTTGTCACTGTCGTCATTGCGAGCATCGTAGCTTTAAATTCCCACCACTACCGAAATCTTCTTCCCCTAATTTGGCGTGCATTCGAGAAAAAATCTGAACAGTTCACACCTGTTTCCTGCAATGAACACACAGCTTGTGCTTAGATGACATTTGGGCATGCTATCCCATTGCAGAAACATGGACATGCGCCAACATTGTACAAATAACGATATTTTGTAAAACCTTTTTCTTCTGTCCACATCACCTATGCGTTTATTGTTTGACAGGGTAGAGTTATGTGTTTGTTGGGTATAATATATATTATTATAATCGTGATGGATGTGCATGATTACAGTACTATCTGTATTAATATCAACCCTAAACAAGGCGATATAGAACTAATATCAACCCTAATCCGTGTAACTGCTTACTATAATTAATCTGATCATTGGCAATAATTGCTGAACACAATATTCTTGTTGCATAATGGAGATGATTTGGACTATTTGCATTCAAGTATGTTACACTACCTATAGGTCTAGGTGTTATTCTCACTTTTAACAGCCATAACAACATAGTTATGATCAGAGTAATTTAAATATCATAACAAGCTAATGGTAATTATTGTACTCTAAAAGACCATAATAATAAAGTTATGGTAATTTAAAAGATCATAAAATATCATAACACGATAATGATAATTTAAATGATCAGAACAAGCTAATGATAAAGATTGTACTTTATCATAACAAGCTAGTGGTAATATAAAAGATCATAACAAGCTAATGATAATTTAAAAGATCATAACAAGCTAATGGTAATTTAAAAGGTCATAACAAGCTAATGATAGTTTAAATAATCATAACAAGCAATAATGATTATTGTATTTTTGTATTATAGGGTTTGTCTCTTTTCATCTTTCACTGTGGCCTGAACAAAAAGGTAATTAAAATATATCCATCTTTTTTTTAAAGTAAATTACTGCATTTTAATCCAAACCATGTTTCTACAATATTTTAATAGTCAGAACGCACGAAATACATACAAATTTACAATCATAATGTCAATTTAAATGTATGGAAAAAGATTCATAATTGATGTTATGTAATAACTTCCAGGCCGGACATGGAATTTATTCAATTTTATTTGCAGGTGAGAGAGGGCTTTGTCATACATCATCGACTTCTTTCAGGACCGTCAAGTTCAAGTTCCAGGTGAATGTCTGAAAATGTAAGTAGAAACTTTGTGTAAAGAGTAGGCGATGAGTGTGTGTGTGTGTGTGTGTGTGTGTGTCGGGGGGGGGGTCATAAGTCCCGTTATCGATAAAAGTCGTAGGTTTGGTCTCCATCTCGGCTTGTATATATCCAGGTGGAGGGAGCTCCGTTAGCGAAATGTAAATTCACAAAGGATTGTGCACTGTAAAACTTTTTCCGTAAAATTTACGGACAAATGGCTGGCAGCTAGGTTGCCAACCAATGTACGTAAAAATTACGACACACCGTAAATATATTTTTACGAACATGTCGTAAAAATTACGACCAAAGATTGGCAACCTAGCTGCCAGCCATTTGTTCATAAATTTTACGGAAAATGTTTTACAGCTGTAAAAAACTTATGGTATGATAAGCATCAAAAAGACATTTACTTAAGATTTAAAACAGAATTTAATTATTCAAAACAATATAAGATACAATTCCTCAAAAATGCTTTTACATGATAGTTTAAGATATAATAAAAGACCTGAAAATATTGGAAATTGGAGATTACTGTCAGTAAGTAAAGCTAACAACTGCCTTAAAAAAAAAAAACCTGTCACCCACAAATTCATATTTTTAACACATTGGATCAAGAGCAGATTTGATATTACAATATGGAGAATGTTTAGAGATCTAACATATTCTTTGGATGTCAAGCAGTTTGGTGGTATATTTCAACAAAAACAAAGCTCCTTACATAATTCTTCATTAATAATAATGAACATTTGTACATGGAATAGTGACGACTTTAAAAAAAAGAGAGAATTTGTTGCCCTATTAACAAGGGAAATAACTCTCCAAAATATTTATCAAGTTCTCACAAGACAAGCAAACAAAAATTTCCAGCAATTAAAAAATGTATGTGAAAATTTTCATGGATGTATCAAATAATGGGTAGCAACTAAATATAAATTTAACAATAACGAAATTATCCATTCAAATTCTTGTACATGTAACATTTACATTATAATATTCAAATGAATCTTTTTATAGTACAACAACAACATTCTGAATCTATTCTACAAATATATAATCAGTGTGTTACAATAGAATTATCCTCAAATCTTTTTCTAAAATCTTAACCAAGGTGTTGTAATATTGACCTCAAATCTATTATTTAAAACATCAACATGAAACTAAATTATAACAGTAAAACATGATCTAATGAAATAATGAAATAATTCAAATTTTGGGAATTAACGAATTTGCATTCTAAATGTTTAAATGAACAATTTAAAATCTAACAATTATTGAACCCCAAAAGTATCATGACTTTAAAACAAGAACAGCATCAATGCAGAATTCCTAATATTCCACCTTAAATGTACAGCTTGTTTCAATGATTAGCTTTATCTCTGTTTGAAAATGTATATCATTAAATTTTGCACAATAACTCCGCCTAAGCATGTACATTCCTTAGTGAGAATGGCATAAATTCAGTCTCGTTGATAAAAATTTAGATGGAACTCGACTACTGACAAAGTTAATGAATCAGTCCCAAAATGAAATGTGTAGATGAGAGTTACACATTTTTAATGTTTATGCAACACGGCCGCATATTTAGAGACAAAATGAACTGAGGATAATTTTACAAATGTACCAAATGGTTGATGGACAAATTAAATGACCAAAAGATTTTTCCATTAAAGTAAACGGACATCTTATCTCAAGTTTAATTAAGAAGATTCATTAAAAAGATTTCTTGCAGTGCGTTTAAAGTCTCATTTACAAAGTATCACTGGTTGTGGCTCGGGCCCTTATCACCTATTTTATACACACTATGTGCTGGTGTATAAAAACTAACCATAAACTCAATAGGCCTATCCCTAAAGTTTGCACATGCATGAACATTATTGCATCATAGGCTGCAACGATACGTATCGCAGTATTTCTTCTTGGACGTGTTTCCAGCTCTCTAGCCATTGCTTTTCCATCTGACGTTTTTGATTCAAAATGTTCCTATATCCATGATTTTTGGTTCGCCGGAGGGGAATGTACTTTCAGCAGGACACATGTTTCATTGCCGAAAGCCATCTTTTCTCCTTCTTGTCACATGAACTACAGGGGAGTATTCTGCATTGGATGAAAATGGACAGTTAAAATATCTGTACCATGTTAACCAAACCGTGGTCCAGAATTTAAAGCACCTTGAACCAAAATGTGGCATCTATACCGTCGTATACCGTCTCACAGTACCGGTATATTGTTGCTATTGTTGTAACTGTACTTCATCCATTTAAAGTTTGACAGTTTAGTGATTAGTTATATCACTTTTTGGCACACTCGAGTCTTCCTCTTTTTCATGATTTCTGTGCGTTATCTGGGTTAATTTCAAAAATGCACCTGCAAAACAAATATTCTCAATTAGATTTTTTCTTATGACATCCATTTCAAAAGAACACATTTTAATTAAGGAAAAGGGACCTAAATGTGCAAGAAAATGAAGTTTCATGTCCACAAACAGGAGACTAAACATATCACACATACTATCAGTGTAAACTGGAATAACCAGACTGCCATTCAATTTGGACATATTTCGCCGAGCATAACTGATTACAAATTACACTAAAAACAGAAACGACTGAATGTAAATCAGTTTATAGACATTCATAATAGATTATTATCGTTGCGACCATTGTGTTCATTTCTCGGGGCCAATGACGTCATAATTTTAAGTAAAACCAATGTAATGATTTACTTAAAGGAATGATTCATGTAAACAAGACATTCTCCGGGAAATACATTTTAATTTATACTTCTGATAATTAAAATGTTTTGTCCACTAAAACAACAATATAACGAAAATACAAATTGGTATCCGAATGTGTGACGTCATCCAGTGAAGAACCAGTTAACTGTTGGCAAACACAGCCTTGACCGGTACCAATATTTCTCAACCAGAGAATAACCCCGTTCCTTTCCCCTGGTATTCGATGTGGGTTTGGTTATTTTAAAGTGGGCCCAATTCCGATTTTGCTGGTCTTATTTAAACACTCTAACGTTTTACATTTAGGCATGTCGTCTTTAATGCTAGTCCATTCTAACGACAACCGTCAATCTAAATTCTGAGTGGTTGAGTATTATTGAATACCAGAATATGGTGCCGTCATTATATTATTGTAATAGAGCGTGTAAGCAAAATAACATGCTTGAGTGACCTTTTCCTTTAACAGATTTGACGTTACCCTGACTGCAAATTAACCATTTTGACCCTTCATCAATTTCAGCATAGGCGTCTTTGCAGGAAGTGACGTAACGGAAAAAACTGAAACGAATTCTGGTGCTCCTAAATATGGTGAAACATTTGCGGATTAAACACTGGACAATGATGATCTTTCATATGCCGTCGTCATTGAAATGTAAATTGGTATAACCCAAGAAGAAGGGATGGCCAACTTTTGATAAAAATACCTTATTGTATTCCGAACTGCTCTTCAACAGACTTGTAATGAGGCTTGATATTGATTTTATTGATGATTAATTGCATGACATTTTGTTTTTATTATTTAATTGTTCCTAGAAGCACCCGCAATGCCTCTATAAAGAATGTATAATCCCATTTAATTTGATATTATTAGTGTTATATATTTAAGATAAGCGTTCAATTTGCTGAATATTATTGATATTTTTTTAATCGCCTTTGACCAAGTTAATTTGAAATGATTTTATTTATATCTAATATTGTTATATTTTACCTTATATTATAATGCTTTTGATCAACACAGTGCTTAGGAAATACTGATCTACTGCACCTAAATAATCAAGCTGATCACCAGTGAATATTCGCTAGGCCGCTACAATCACTGATAAGGATGACATCGATGCGACTTAATGAGCCACAAATATTAACTTTTTTCTTCCGACAAATTAAATTCTAAAACATTTTTTTATGTATTAGGAAAATAAATAAAGACGTTTGAAGTATTTGGAGGGTGGGACGATTTACCCAATACTACCCAATACCAGCCCAATACCACCTCAATATCACCACATACTACCCAATACTACAACATAATGATGCAAAATAGACATATCGTTTGATTGTTTTCAAAAATAGAGAGTTATATCACGGGAAATATACTTCAAATGCGATACCGATATCTGGCTGTTCCATTTGCCTCCCTCTACCACTCCAAAAAAGCCAATAATAACCCAATACTACCAAATAATCATCAAATGCTACCAAATACTACCCAATATGATCAAATAACAACCTAATATTGTCAAATAACGGCACATTAGTATAATTACTGCAACGAATATTCGATATTTTGCAGAAAATTGAAATTTTTACACAGTTATCTCCCTTTACAACCGGTAAATAGATTTTAGATTGCTGCACTGATTAATCATTTTCTTTGCCTTTGCAATTGGTTTCGAAGACGACAAACTTAAAATAAGAAAAACAAGTATGACGATATACCATATTTTATTCCCAAAATCACCCGTCTGTCTCTTACCACTTGATAAGGTCGTCTGTCAAACAAGGTTGGTTTTCTCGGGTCCCCCGGTTTCATCTCACTGTTAAACATCCCTTCGCTCAAGCGAGTTAATGAAATAATATTGAACTATATGTTAGTCCCGAAATTACCTAGTTAGTGTCGATTGTTTGTATCTATTTTAAAATTAATGCTTTAACAAAACAATTGCATAATGTTTATGTTCATTTTTTTCATGTCAACTATTAAGTTATTGCGTATTTACTGACTGTACGATGTTGTATTTTAAAATTAACGAAATTGCACATGTTTCTTTCCAGTGTGTAATTCTCGACGCGACACATCTCAGTTCATCAAAACTATCATTTGTGGCCTGTTACAGCTCTGTCGGTTTCTTTGATAATATAAATAAAACAGAATTTGATTACCCAATCAACAATCTTAACCCCTTCGATTAATTGTTAAGTCAGGTTGAATGTATATACGTGTAAAGCATTACACATTGTGGGAGGAAACTGGAGACCGTGTCTATTCATTTAGGCGATAATGACATCACCGCGACATCGTCACCTGCGGGTATATACCGTAGAATACTTAGAATTTGTTCAATAGTGACAATATTCGAAGAATCGGTAAAATTTGAAAAGAGGTTTTTTTTTCAAAGGCGCTTGGTATGGAACCGGAATCATTTCAAAGACAAAGAAGACGAGACAGATATAAAGATAAATTCGTGTGCTTTCCTGACATATTATACCAAAATGATTTTTTACAGGACCGAGTGCACTTGTAGACAGCGTGTTATATTACTAAAATCACCAGGATGAAGAAATAATTATAGTACAAGAAGACTTTTGAATAGATCACGAGACCGTTAAATGAACAGTTTTAAATCAACCTATAAAATACTCTTTAATTTGGATGTTTAGCTGTTTATTTTATAACACTATAGCGTAGGCATCTATAATAACCTGTTTTCCTTATTTTAACTTCGTCGTCTAGGAAACAAACTGCAAAGCCCAACAAGATGATTAATTTGAGTAGCAATCTAAATTCTATTGGTCAGTTGTAAAGGGAGATAACTGCGTAAATATTTCAATTTTCTGTAAATTATCAAATATTCGTTGCAGTAATTATAATAATGTGCTGTTATTTGACAATATTCGGTTGTTATTTGATCATATTGCGTATTATTTGGTAGTATTTGATGACTATTTGGTAGTATTGGGTTATTGGTATTTTGGGGGGTGGTAGAGGGAGGCAAATGGAACAGCCAGATATCGGTATCGCATTTGAAGTACATTTCCCGCGATATAACTCTCTATTTTTGAAAAAAATCAAACGATATTTCTATTTTGCATCATTATGTTGTAGTATTTGGTAGTATGTGGTGATATTGAGGTGGTATTGGGGTGGTATTGGGTAGTATTGGGTAAATCGTCCCGCCATATATTTTGATGTAAAAATTATTTCCTATTTATTGTAAATGGATATTAAAATGAGTAAAAGGCAATATTTTGCCCGGACCAGTAACGTCATGTGTAAAGAATGCACGCGCATTGAGCCAATGATTGACGTCGCGTGTTTTGACGTCACGTGTTGAAGGCAGTCATATTTTACAGAGATATTAGAAGACTTTGGTAATCCTCTGTGAAACAGATTGCCTGATTGCTAGATAATATTATACGTTACGTAGATTTCACTGTACAAATATTCTGTACATTAATTTGATTTTATAAAATTTATATCTAATATTGTTTATATTTTACTTTAGATTATAAAGCTTTGATCTACATATTGCTTTGGAAAATATTGATGTACTGCACCAAAATAATACGTTATGTAGATTTTGCTCTACAAATATTATGTAAATTGTAGATTACCTTTATTAAGGAATTCATTTGAAAACCTCAAATAAATATATTTACACAATTTTATAATGTCCATTCTTGTAAAAATGGATATATTTATTAGGGAGTAAAACACTCTGCTTATTTTTCGGATTTTCTCAGAGACTACAAATGGTCGTTATATTCAATCAAATAAACAATATTGTTGTTCATCGGTGGGGACGTTTTTTTGACAAAAACTGTATTTTCAACCTTTAACAAAACTGTCTATTCCTTAATTGTTATGAATTTTAATAGTAAGAAGATATACGATCAATGGATATATAAAAACAATTTCGGGTTCATTGTCCCGAAATAGCCAATTTCGCATGAATCTAATCATAATTTAAGGCTTGGCAAATGGTTAATTGCTGTCCATTTTATGAACTTGTGCCATAGGAGTGGTTATGAAGTTTTTATTTCTATAATAAATTTAGTCGATTTTGGTGACCACATTGATATCGTTATTTTGACAAACACTGTATATTTGATTCGTGATTGCAAAATATATACATTAATAAAGAATTTAACTAAAATTGATACTACATCATTATTAAGTGGTTTATTTTAAATGACCCTCTCGGCACTGGAAGTGGGGTATTTGTGAAGGCTAAACTTGGTTTCTGTTCTGTTATTACATTATCAGATTACAGGACGGTCATATACGGAAACCAAAACAGTAAGACCCGCGCCACCCATGTCGAGTGTTAAGGTATAAGGTCGTATGCCTATCCTTGTAGTCCAGTTAATTTGCATCTCCAATAGAAGGGTTGGTCTCACCACCTTAACTACATACAACGTGCATCTTGTGTTGTAAAACATGTTTAATCTGTGGATCTTTGCAAAAATGCGCGGTAATTGGAAATTGTGTCAATCAACTATTGATGCAAACAGAAAGCGTTCAAAATGAAATGTTAGTTTCATGAGGAGCAAACCAAGTACGTATTCGTGCCAATATTGCTGGAGTCCTGCGATGCCGTCCTGGAGCTTATCAGCGCTAATGAGATAAAGTCAATGGAATATAAATATGTCGCCGTCTTCGTTTATCGGATGAGGTCTGTCTCCCTAGTTCGTAATCAGTATTCGTTTAAGAGCGGCGCCAGTTTATGTGACTAGCTTGAGTGGAGCAGGTTGTGATGGTTCTCTAAGAGCGGATTTTTTGTTTGGCCTCGTATCTGTGTTTTAGCCCTACCTCGTCCCTGTATAATAGTATGTTTTTTTGTCGGGAATTACATATGCAGGCCCAATGAAAACGCACCACTCATAAAAATGAATGATTGTACGGGTACGGGACAATTCGTCCCCGGACAATTTCCCCCCGGACTATTCGTCCCCTTGGACGATTAATCCTCTAGGAATATTCATCCTCGGATAACTCGTCCTCGGACAATTCGTCCCCTATGTCTAATCGTCCCCTAGGACTATTCGTTCTACATGTTTTGAAGGCCAAATGAAGGAAGAAATTAGTAGCCCGCACTCCCCCCTCCCTGTCTGAAGACTACTTTTTACTGCCAATTCTGAAACCCCTCAGTAGAGGTGTGCGTGGGGGCAGGGGGGGGGGGGGGTTAATCAAATCCTTTCAATTTTCAATCATAAATCAATTAAACAATTCATAGTGGGAAACTATTTATTGTTTAATTGTCCTAGAGCCTGAGTGTACATCTCACACAAGGAACAATTTTATGGTTACACAATTACTATGTTTAATATTATGCAACGTTTCGACGAGGATACTCTCGTCTTTATCAAGTAAACCATCGCGTAGTATTAAACTCAGTAATTCTGTATCAATAAAATTGTTCCTTGTGTTAATATGTTCCAATTACTAAATGTCAATCAAAGAAGATTGCATATCTCGTTCAAGTAATATAGTCTGAATGTAACATCAATAGATCACGACGATATTAATAATTGAGAATGATGTTGCTACGTGTAGTATAAAATGTGACTTTCAGTATAAATCCTACAGTTCTAACCGTTAGTGCCTATCGCTTTCACAATGCGGGGAGGGGGGTGGCCAAATGGTTAGCACGTGCGCGCTGTATCATAAGGCCTGTCATTGAGTCAACTTGCGTGGTTTCGAATCCTCGGTTGTACGTGACAAGGAGTAGGGTCGCCTGTCTAACCTCGTGGGTTTTACGTGACAAGGAGTAGGGTCGCCTGTCTAACCTCGTGGGTTTTCTCCGGGTCCTCCGGTTTCCCCCACTGCTAAAGACCCCTACGCGCAAGCGAATTATTGAAATAAAATTAAACCATATGTTAGTCCCGAAATGACCTAGTTTGTGTCGAGTGGAGTTAAACCCCATTTTCTCTCTCTCTCTCTCTCTCTCTCTCTCTCTCTCTCTCTCTCTCTCTCTCTCTCACACTGCCATCAGACAAATATGGTACATAATACAAGTATACTCATATCTATGTCGCTATTTGCACAAGCACACCCAAGCAGATATTTGTGTATTCCGTTTTCCTTAATTACATATTAATGGCAACATTGAGGTTGATGTCCACCGCGGAAATCCCAAAATATATAGATGACAAATATCAATTAATTGCACATTTATGTTTTCCAAAAGTATTGAGCAATCAAACTGATTATCTATACTTAGTCTAAGCATAAAATATTCACGATCAAACTTAAGTCAAAGTTTTGGAATACCTGGTAATGAAACTATACTCTAAGTTTCATGCTTATTATAGAATTTAGTCAAGGTATTCATGTAATTAATGAAACTACACACCAAGTTTCGCCACTCTCACTTCATTAGAACTAAAGTTATCGTGTCCCAAAGCACCAAATAATCAAATTGCTTATCTGTGCTTCGTCTAAGCAGAAAATGCTCGCCTTTGAACACCATCAAGTTTGAACATTCTTGCTCAATCAGAAGGAGAGTTATTGTGATCCAAAGTCTCGCCCATTGGAATTGCTTATCGCTCTGCTTACCCTGAGCTCATTATCGAACTTTGACAGACGGACAGACCCATTTTAATAGTCCCTGCTTTCTTCGAAAGGCGGGAGGGGAGGGGAGGGGGATCTAGAAAAAGGTTCATGTATTTGAAACCTAAAAGATACATACATTTTTATATTCAGTTGTGTTTTATTATATAATAGCAACAGTTTGTAAATTAACAAGATACATGCATTTGACTCCTGAAATAAATATTAAACATACAGTATGCAAGAGCTAATCTGTCTATTGCAGGTCTTTCTTTAGGCCTTAAATGTTATATAAACTATTAATTAGACATTAATTAACACGAACAGACCATAATCAACTTTTGACGTCATCTGATGTGTCGGATTTTATCTGAATTTAATCCGATTTTCTGCTCAACGTTCATTGATGTTTTTTCATCGTACCGACTTTAGTAATGATGATAATGATCGAGGCTAGGCCTAAAATTCCACGGCTAATATCTCAATTTAGGGTGGAGCAAATTGACTGATATTTTCGACATATTCCCTTACATTATCTAGTTTTTGATTATTATGTTGAGAACTGTCAGCTCGTTATTTATTCGTCCATAATGTATATTAACTGTCTGACTTGTGTATTAAATCAGCAAAAACGTTATATCAATATAATAACAACCTTGCTTAACAAACATCCGTTTAAAATATTTCGATTAGTCGAAAAGTGTCCACATAGGCGCTTTTTAAACCATCCCAGATTTAGGCGATCAACCCAGATCCAAACAATAGATTTACCATACTTTCTTATAGAATCAAATATGATCAAATCAGACTGAAATAACATCCACCATACTTACTTAAACTCCATGGGGAGGCGTTAGAGAAGCAGAAGAAAGTGCGTCAGATATATAATGTTGTCCATTTAAGGTGCACTAGCATTTGAAATTATGTTATTTCGGGGGAGTCGAATGTGGAGATACACTAATAGATTAGGGTCAAAGGAATCGCACATGCAAACTTATAATTCTGGCTTAAAAATCGATAAGACAGTTATCGAAAAGGAGTCGAAAATGCGAACAGGCGACGGACAACGAATGTAAACATCATTATATGTGCTTTATTGCGTGTTTTGTCCAAATAATAACACTGTTGTAATGACCATGTTGTTTTTATCATCCAGCCAGATATTGTTAGTTATCCAGTCAGCCATAGATCCAGTGAGAAAGCTTCTGGTACAGTTAGGATGGTTCGCGAACCACCGGCCGCCTCTGTATCGTTTAGCACATCGATAGTCGGTGTAATCTGCGTCATAGGTGGGGAATGGCCGTCCTTCAAGATTTCAACTCCCAGTTATGGAATCACCACAGTCGCCCTCATTGTAATCAAACATCATTGCGTAGCCAGAGGATTTGTTTCCGAGTTTCAATCCCTGGTAAAACTGATGACATGCCATCCAGTCTGAATTGAAAAGGACGAAGTGAAGGTAATAATTCAAATCCAAGTTTTCATTAATGATCGCCTGGAGTTTATCAAAACCGATCCATCTATTCTTTGGAACTTCTCCAAATCCCTTTTCATAATCCTCCAGTGAACGATTAAAGTTTTCATAAGTGCATCTGATACTTCTCTCCAGAATGATAGTACCACCACCATATTTAGTATCACATACAACTTCAAATGGTTCAAATGTTGCACTTGGTTGAATAGGGCAAAATTAGAACTTATATTGAAGGTCTGTCGTGTGCCATCTATGCAATCTGTAATGGACGATATATATTCATTTAATTGTATTTCATAGTTTACAGCGGGGCTTCCCCCCCCCCCCCAACTTTGGCGCATGACGGATGGTCTCATGGCAATAAAAATGTATAGTCTTTCGAATGACAGGAACCCTGAGGTCCCGTGTACCCGATGACAAATCGGAATTTGACATAAAAGTAGGCTGTAACACCGTTGTTCGGGCAATATTAGGGGGTTGGTGGCCGAATGGTTAACGCTAATAAAGTGTGTAATTTGTCAACATTCGGCATCACATATCTGCAACAGATATTTTCGGGATACAATCAAAAGCCAGTACCACCTACAACCTAACCTGAATTATCTAATCAGATAATCCCTTTGAATTCAAGCAGGTGGATTACATGTTAAATAGTATTAAGCCGTGGAAAATAGCTTAAGAGACGAATAGCCAACAGAACAGGCTACTATTTGGTAATGTGTAATATTAATGAAAAGCATGGTTTCTAGAGCGGCAAAACTGTATTAATTAACTTCATCCGTCGTTCACCCTAGATGTTTGTCGTGAATTAAATCAATATTTACGACAGGAGAGGTTTCCCCATAAAAAAATATATGGAAATACAATATTACCTATTATTACATGTTGGCAGCTTTCACCATAAAATCCCAACGGACACGTTATCGTTGATGATTCAGTTTGACCAATATCCTGAAACATTATGTTATCTTTATTGTATTTGTCTTCAGAAATATTCAAATATTTTAGGTAATCTGCAACAACATTTTATTTAGATTCCTCCCCAAATTTTACATCCACCACCAGGACGTACATAGCAGGAAATGTACCCTGGAAGGGATCTATCCCAAAGACAAAATTTCGAAGGAGACCAATAACTAGTGAAAAGGTATATGAAAACTAGAAATACAGTATGTTTAAAATTAATAATGGTGTGAATAGGGTACAAATTGTTTTAATTATCATACGAACCTTTCTATAACAAGAACAACCAGTAGTATCATCAGCCTTTATACAATCTGTACCATCCTGGTATAATCTTCATGTACACTCGGAGTTCACAGAACAGTATAAATATCTTCTACACTTAGACTCCCGTGTACAAGAAATTCCACAGTCTAAACGCCGCCTGACTTTATTTGTAAACATAAGGTTAGAATTATCACATGTATTCTGAATAATTCGTGTTTTTGTGAAATGAGAAAATTGATGACATTCGGCATCACGGTAGACCGCCAGGGCGATTGAAACCAAGATTACCGACAGTTCATAATCACATTCATTATAGCAGGGATGGTTTATACAAGCTAATACAAACACAACCAAACCCACATGTCGTAGAATCTTAATCAACCGCAATAAAAGTTTATCCCACACAAAAAAGTTCATATCGTTACCATTAAACAAAACGATTAATGTGACTTAGCGAAAAAATTTAATGAGGAACGATTACCGCTTGAATGCTACTGACAGTGATGTGTAGCAAATCTTGAATAACATATCCATTAAAATATAATCTTCTGATCATTATTGAACCAGTATCATGGGGCAATCAGCGTTTGTAATTAAAGTAAGATTTTGAAAACAGAATACGTAAGTTGTTTGCATTAAAATCTTCTGCAATTAGGACACCCTATAAACGTCATAGTTATTGATGCAAGACACCTTTGTTTATTAGATAAATTGGTTGAATTAAAATTTAAACCATTAATCAATAAATACTGTACTAAAAATAATGTACCATCCATTAGTGTGCTAATACAGTAGTTATACACATAACATTATATGGTATATGAATAAACACTACTGGGTGCAGATGATGCAACAGCAAAGGTGTCGATATAACAACCAGGCTTAAAGGGGAAGACCAACGATTTTCAACAAGGTTTCCATAAACCTTAAATATATATTGATAAATAATCCCCTCTGTAGCACAAGCGAAAAAGTTTTGGTAAGTGAGAAATTAATTTCTATTAAAACAGGAAGTGACATAGTTGGTGCAACACACTCAGCGGTCTCTATAGTAAGCATACAGATTTGGCATAATTTTACAGCTGTATTGTGTTCACGCGTGGTCCTTTGGCCAAACATCTGATGAAATGGGCTGTTTATTTGGATATTATAAACACGAATTTATGTTTTTTTAACGTTTAGTACACTAAGCCGCCGCGTAAATTCACTCATACTGAACAGTACGCTGTGCCTCAATTCACGCCACATGGCTAATTCTTTACATCACGTGGTTTGATTGACAACTCGCAAGTGACATGTATTTCGTCTGCTTCGATGTTTTTGTGCTTGCTGACAGCTTTTTCCAACATAAACAGATCAAAATTATGGGCATGTAAGACATATAATATAGTGCATTTTGGCACATAATGTCGACGTGAACGGCTTTCCCTTTTTTCTTCCATTTCCTCTTGAGAATGGCTGGGGTCGAATGTTTATACGGCATTACTGCAAACCCATAGAACAGATATTTTCTATTCCAATACGTTGGTGTTTGACGTTGACATACTTTGGAAATTTATATATTTATTTGAATATATATGTGCCAAAAGTTTGTTGAAATAAATAAAAACAATGTCAGCAGACTCAGCACGCACAAAAACATTCAAGCAGACGAAACGTCTCTCACTTGCAAGCTGTCAATCAAACCACGTGATTTAAACAATTAGCCATGTGGAGTGAATTGAGGCACAGCGTACTGTTCAGTATGAGTGAATTTCCGCGACGGCTTTGTGTACTAAACGTTAAAAAAACATAAATTCGTGTTTATAATATCCTAATAAACAACCCATTTGATCAGATTTTTGGCCAAAGGACGACGCGTGAACACAATACAGGAGTAAACTTATGCCAAATCTGTATGCTTACTATAGAGACCAGTGAACGTGTTGAACCAACTATGTCACTTCCGGTTTAATAAAAATTAATTTCTCGCTTAAAAAAACTTTTTTGCTTGTGTTACAGAGGGGATTATTTATCAATATATATTTAAGGTTTATGGAAACCTTGTTGAAAATCGTTGGTCTTCCCCTTTAAAGTAACGATGCAACAATAACACATTTCTCACGGCATAATTTAAGATCTCTTGTACCCAAATTCATTATTTAATATTTAATTAAGAAAACAAAATCAAAAAATCAACGCTAGATAATCTCCCGGCTTTGATTCGATCAGATTTAAAATAAACTTCTACCAATAAATATGTCTGCAGACAGCATAAATCGATAAAATTACAAGTCCACACATCTTTGTTTTGTACACGCAGCCAGTCTTCGTCGACGTCCACTCGACGCAGCCTAGGTCATTTCGGGACTACCATGGTTCAATGTTATTTCAATAATTCACTTGCGCGTAGCAGTGGGAGGGCCTGCAGTGCAACCGGGAAAATTGAAATCACGTCAGTTGACTCAATGACAAACATCATGATACAGCGCGCACCAGCGCACACGGGCTAACCATTCGGCCGTGACCCCCACCCTCCCCCAGTTATTCGTGTACATATTAGGACCTTACTAACTAAATATTATCATTAATTCTCAAGAATATTACAAAACAGATGAAACAAATCCAAACAAACGCAAGTCAGTATGAGCAGTCAAGCGATCGAAGTTATTGCTCGGCGTTGATAAAACATAAAAGTTTGTCCCAGAAAAGCAAAACAGTTGTCCATCTTGTTTTTAGCGATGTGCAGATTGTTTTACCGAAATGAAATGGAGTTTAATTCCTATACTGTTCTGCTCCGACTTGGCTTATGAAGATGGGCATACAACACACAGTGCCCTATGAGGGATATTTGCCTGGACAGCGGCGCTACGGTTTACTCTTATATAGAATTCCAACCCCAGAGGGATATTTTACGTGTACACGAGACCTCGGTGAAAGCTGTCCTTGTCAGGTCCTCTGTCCTTCACCATTGGGAAAAATGCCGATGAACTTTCTCGGCAAACACCGGAATCGAACCCGTGACCTTCTGGCTAGTGAGTCAGCGTCTTACTCACTTAGCCACCGTAGCTCCCCAGAATGTTTTACCAATCTATAAGATGATCATCAAGACCCCCCCCCCCTCTCTCTCTCTACTCTCTCTACAGTTAGCTCAGCTTGAGAACAGACACTAGTTGGTCGAAATTTTAAGTCCTCATTAAGTTTTGACAGCTGTTTGTTTTGAAGTTTTAATGTTACCTTTTTGCGATCTGTATACTTCAAAATGTGCTTTCTGGGGTATCCTTTACGTGCATCAACCATCTCTGTCTCTATCACATCATATGAAATATCCCCCATCACTACAATTAACGTAAAATCGGCGTTTTTCGAAATTTGGTCAGAAGTTCAATGCAAAGTAATGGCCGCCTACGAGTGGGGTTGTTCACCGACCTCCCACAATGCAACAGTGACACGCCCTTTTTTGAGAAGGGTGATTCATGTATACTCGATTCCCCATTATTGTATGGTGACTTATTGTATGCCAGATTGATTTCCGCTCATGTCGTCATAATGTTCCGGTTCGATAAATGTCCAGAAATGTTTTTGGAGAAATGTATTTGGAGAAATGTTTTCAGAGAAATGTTTTCAGAGAAATGTTTTCAGAGAAATGTTTTGCAAGATTTGTATTTGTAGATTTTTATTTGGAAAATTGTAGTTCGAGATTTGTTTTTCGTTGTATTTATCTGATGAAATGTAAATGTAGACTAATTCTGTGATTTTCTAAAAAAAAAAATATTATCTTTATTTTAAGATACAATTAAGAATACATTTTACAAATCTGACAGATGGACAAACAGGGGCGACGGCATAATACGTCCACAGTGGTCCACATGAAAATGTGGGTGTATAAAAATTACATGTATAACATTATTAGTTTTATGTAATATAAAAATTAGAACACAATTAATTAATTTCATGCAATATAAAGATATATCGGTAACATCATTCCTTGTTGTTTTTTTTAAAAACTATTTTCTTTCGCATATCACCTTGAAAAATAAAATAAAGTAGGATTAGGACACTAAGAAATCGGTATCGTTTTTCACGCCAGGAAAATTTCTGTGTTTTTCATACTATATAATCACTAGATAATAAGAAACCTCATCTCTCAACCATGTGTGTTTCGAGATGGGATATGGTACTATTACTACTATATAGTTTTACCTGGCAAAGTATGATGCTAATCAGATAGTACTTCAATAAGCAAAACTGTCAATTTCTTCTTCGATAGCCTGAAATTTAGCATAATAGGAAATTGATAGCTTATCATCAACTTTTTACGGCTTTCACACGATTAAACATGTAGTAGCCTACCAGTAGTGCAGTTATTTCTCAAAGTAAATATTTATATTTACTGATGGCCTGGAAGGTCTTATTACGGGATTAATAGTTCTACTTTTGTGTGTAGGGGAGACTCGGGGAGACTCGGGTAAGTTGTGCACTTAAGTCAAGATATTCTTTTCTTGTATTGTAGTTGCTAAACCTACGTAATTTTGCTGAATGTTTTAGGCGCTGTAGGTGAATTTATTTGAAAGACTACCGGAATTCATTTCAAATATATGCACCGATCATGATTATGATAACGTAGGGCGCGTCGTATTACCCAATAGGCCGAACTCCAAAATACATGTAACACAAAATAATAATTTGCGTCGAATTACCCAATAACTCCAAAAATGTTGACTGTGGAAACACAAAATAACAATTTAGTTGAATTTAAGGTCTTATTACGGGATTATTAGTTCTACTTTTGTGTGTAGGGGAGACTCGGGGAGACTCGGGTAAGTTGTGCACTTAAGTCAAGATATTCTTTTCTTGTATTGTAGTTGCTAAACCTATGTAATTTTGCTGAATGTTTTAGGCGCTGTAGGTGAATTTATTTGAAAGACTACCGGAATTCATTTCTAATATATGCACCGATCATGATTATGATAACGTAGGGCGCGTCGTATTACCCAATAGGCCGAACTCTAAAATACATGTAACACAAAATAATAATTTGCGTCAAATTACCCAATAACTCCAAAAATGTTGACTGTGGAAACACAAAATAACAATTTAGTTGAATTTAAGAAGCCTCGCTGATTTGTGCCCAAATCGGAGGTAAACGGGAGATAACTCGTGTATGTGATTTTTGTTGACAAGAAACAAATGTACACTTTCGTTGCAATTCGTTGTAATGTATTGTAATAAAAGATTGATTAATAGTTTATTAAAACAGTAATTATAAACACGAAACATATTATGGTATATATAGTGCAATAGACAATTTAATATTATAGCTATATTTATTTATTTATAATTGCAAATTGTGTTGATTGTCATTTTCTGTCATCGACATCGTAACTTGTTTTGAAATAAATAAATGAAATCAATTTAAATAAGTTATTTTGTGTTTCCACAGTCAATATTTTTGAAGTTATTGGTTGTTATTTTGGAGTTATTGGGTAACTCGACGCAAATTGTTTTTAGTGTTATTTTGGAGTTCGGCCTAACGACGCGCCCTACGTTATCATAATCATGATGCATATATTTGAAATGAATTCCGGTAGTCTTTCAAATAAATATACCCACAGGGCCTTTATTTGGCCTGTGGGAATATCAAAATAGTAATTCGTTACATTATAATGTATTATACATTTAAAATAAATTAGATTTGTGGGAGGAATCGGGGGTTTTCGAAGTGAATTCCGGTGATTATATGTGAATTCCGGTAATTATATGTGAATTCCGGTGATTGTAAATGAATTCCGGTGATTAGTCGGGCCCGTCACGGTAACGTTGTAATTATTATAGGATCAGTTTTTTGTTAACTTACGTTTGTCAAATTTTGCACAAGGGAGACATTCCTCACAATACCGGCCATGGTGAATTGACGAAATCTCGCGTTGATAAACGAGATGATGGTTAATTTTTAGCAACACTGACACGAACCGCGTGCTAGGGTTAGGGTTGGGTTTTGTCCAAAAATTCGGGAATGGTCCAAAAATTTTGACGTCAGTTGCGACCAAGCTACAGACTTTTTTTTTATCGACTTGCCAAATCGATAAAAGTGATTTGGCGATTTGATGTAATCGCTTCGGAAATCGGTGTCGATAAATTCGTTGATTAGGGTAACCAATTTGAATTAGATGGACGTTAAAGATGAAAATCTGTTTGAATGCAAATCACTTTGGCTAATCAGTGGTCGATAAAAACGCCTTACGTTTGTCATATTAGCCATTTTGGGAATCGTTGTTTAAATAAATCAGACGTGGACTCACAGAACACGAGTAACCCATGACTCTGTTCGGTAACTTGTGTGCTCTGTTAGTCGAGTTTATTCTGAGATTATGTCATATAATTTACTACATCAAAAAATAGCTAAATTGTCAATTGAAATCAATTTATATGAGAGCAGTTATGTCTATATTGCGTTGAAGGCTGTTAAAGACAAAGGAGCTTAATCGCTAATATTTGGGACCTAGAAATTGACACAAAAGGGTCGCAATGCGTAATATGAATGTATATAAACTGATTTACATTCAACCGTTTCTGTTTTGACTGTAATTTCTAATTAGTTATGTTTTGCGAGATACGGCAGAAGTCTCAATTGAATGGCAATCTGTAGCGTCTGGTTATTCCGGTCTACACCAATAATATTTATTGCGCATGCTCTCCAGATAAGAATACGAGGTCACCGTATGACATGACTTGTGGAAAAAATGTCTGGCCTTGTTCTTCGAGTCCCTTGTTACAAATGGTGCTGAAACGCATTATGGTACACGATTCGTATACCAATGGTAAAATATTTATTTTATCGGTAAGATCACAACATCAGTGTTGATTTAAATTGCCAAATAATTCATGTTTTCAATGTCGAAGACTTTGGATGATATTGAGTTAAAGACTTAGCTACTTGTGGCCCAGAAATGCTAAATATGATACAAGTACCCAATTACTTTATAATTTAGAAGTAAAATGTGATTTAACGTCCTGGGGAGCCACGGTGGCTAAGTGGTATAACGTAGCTACGAGAACGTAGCTAAAATCGTTGAAATATACTGATGTGCTTGTTTTTAGCTACGATTGGAGGTCTTTAGTTCCAAGTGGCAAACTCAGTTTCTTTATTAATGCATGTAACATCTTTAAAATAAGTTAATCTAATACTATTATGACTAATTAAACTTACAGAGGCCAATGTTGTGGCGCAACTATCGCTTAAAGGACCTAAGTCCGTAACTCAAAATCCTCCAAAATCTTTGACATCGAAAACACGAATTATTGGTCAATTTAAATCAACATTGATGATGTAAACTTACCGGGAAAAGATGAGCTTCTGATATCCGATATTTAAGATAAAATAATTTTTTTAACATTGGTACACGAATCGTGTACCATAATGCGCTTCAGACCCAGTTGTATTGAGAGACTCGAGGGACGAGGCTAGACACATTGCACCAAATCAAATGGAGTTATGTAGACTAGAATAACTAGACGCTAGAAATTTGCACTCGATTGAGATTGCTGACTTATTTCGCCGAACATAACTGATTTGAAATTGGAGTAAAAACGGACACCATTAAATGTAAATCAGTTTATATACATTCATATTACAGTATTATAGGCGTTGCGACCCACTTTTGTGAATTTCTAGGTCCCAAATGTTGGCGATTTAGCTCCTTTAAACTCCAAATATTTGCGTTTAAATTAATGAAGCGTTGTTTTTATCCGACAAACACCGCCATACATCCCCCGTTTAAAAATGGCGTTCTTATTGTAACGGCTTCACGCCTCGATTTTAAATACGATGATCTATACCCGCTTCAGCTAGGATTATATGTTTAATTGTAGTTGGATGTGGTAGAAATATTTTCAATAACAATAATCAATCGTTGTTTTGATGAAAAATATTGCCAATTTTGCTTACTGAGGCCCAATGTGATTTGCGTTGGGCTTTGCTACTATATATAACACCATCTCTTATCTCGAAACACGGAGGGTTGAGAGAGGATGTTTGTTATCTAGATACAACGCTGGCTCGCTAGAATGGAGGTCGTGTTTGATCCCTGCGCATTGGCCGAGAAAGCTGATTGGAATTTTCCGGCGTGGTTTCCCCTTGTAAGTGGTGCAAGACGGAGGGCCTTAGAAGGGCAGATGTCTAGTCATTTGGATGGGACGAAATTGGCGTGCATGTAAAAAAAATGAAATGAAATGAAATGGGGTTTAACGTCCTACTGTTCTGCTCCTAAACTGGGCTAATGAAGACGGGCATACGTCATACAGTGTGCTATGAGGGAAATTTTGCCCGGGCAGCGGCACTACGGCCTACTCTTATATCGAATTCCATCTGCCAAGGGATCGTTTACGTGCACGCCAATGTGTACACGGGACCTCGGTTTTTCGTCCCATCCGAACGACTAGACAGCTGTCCTTGTCAGGCCCTCCGCCCTGCATCACAGACAAGGGGGAACCACGCCGGAAAATCTGGATGAACTTTCTCGGCCAATGCAGGGATCGAACACCCGACCTCCAGACTAGCGAGCCAGCGCCTTACCCACTTAGCCACGTGATCCCCTGCATGTAAAAGATCCCCTGGCAGCTGGAATTCGATCTAAGAGTAGACCAAATAGTGCCGCTGCCTAGGCAAAATTTCCCTCTTAGCACACTGTTTGGTTATGCTGTATATAATGTAGGCTATTTTGCCAATTCTTCCTCAAACTAATCAACAGTGAATATTCGTTAGGCTGCTACATTTACTGAAAGGGCTGACATCGGTGCAAGTTAATTAGCTCTCAGTATTAATTTTCTTTCTTTTGCAAATTGAATTCTAAAGCACTTGTTTGAATTGCTTAGAAAAAAATTGAAGTATCTACTAAAACTTGGATTTTATCTTTAGTTAAACATACATTATGCAAATTTAAATCTGCATATTGCAGGTCTTTCTTTAGGCCTGAAATGTTATATAAACTATTAATTAGACATTTATTAACAAAACAAGACCATAATCGACTCTCGATGCATCGGATACTCGAGATTTTAACTAGATTGAAATGGTTTGCCATTTAAAAATTTAATTTAAAAATGGGAAACCGATGCTAAGTCCCGATTATACCAGTGCCCTGGTTACCACTTTGCACACATCTTGTCAAAACTACAAACAATGATAACTTGGCTGAGAATGAAGTAATTTGAATGAAATTTTCAATATTTTCTGTTTTTATCATGTATTTTTTAATCATTATAACAAGAATGACCAACTCTTTATTAAACTCTTAAAGATACATTATGGGAGATAAGATAAAGATATGGCAGTTCTCGCTATAATAGTTAAAAACTAGATAGTGTAAAGGTATTTTGCTGAAAATTTCAGTCAAATTGATCCACTATGAGCCGAGAAAGAAGCGGGTGAAATTTTTGCATAGTCTCGGTCATCATTACTAAAATCATTAATATAAACAGCATAGTCTCGATTATCCACTTTTTCTGATTTAATTATCAATAGCCGTTAGCGGCATATAGGAATCTAATCCAGCCAATATCGAAGGCTAGCGATGCCATCTATAGTTTATTATGGTCTGGATAAGTTAATTAATGTTTAATTGGTAATTTAGATAACATTTCAGGCCTAATAGTGGGGCGGTTAAGGAAGAATTTTTGGTAGAATCGTGCATTTTGGGTTAAAAGCATGAAACTTGGCACATATATGACATCAACGCTACTGATTATTTTTGGATGTGGATCCACCTCAGCAGCTCCCCCTGGTAGTCGTTACGGCCATCTTTTCCAAAATGGCCGCCTATTCATTGATATACATATAACTAGGGGTGTCACCATAAGACAATTTCTTTTACAAATCATTTCAGGCCAGCAATTTCCAAAGGCGAAATTGCTAGCTGAACACGATTTTTGAAAAAAGATTTATCTATGACGTCATTTTCGTTTGGGGTTTGGCTGATTTCAAAAATGGCCGCCAAAATTTGAAGACAACTGAATTCCCAGATGGGATGGGTGATTATCACGCAATATATGGCTTGTAATATATCAAATATAAGGTTTTTGTTGTAATTGAACTGAAAAATAATCTCTCAAACTAGTTTTCCCAAATCCAAGATGGCGGAAATTCAAAATGGCGGCCATAATATACCCAAAATGGCCGATTGATCAGATTAAAGTCATTTCACTGTTTGATTTTGTTTGTAATATATAATTTAAAGGGTTTATATTGTCACTGAACTTAAATTTAATCTAAATAAAAAAATAGTTTCCAAAATCCAAGATGGCTGAAATTCAAAATGGCAACCAGCATTTATCTAAAATGGTCGATTTGTCAGATAAAAGTCATTTCACTCTTTGATATGATTTGTAATATGTAATATAAAGAGTTTTCAAAGTCATTAAACTTAAAATCAAACTAAAAAAAAAGTTGCCAAAATCTAAGATGGGGGAAATTCAAAATGGTGGCCAGAATTTTAGGATAATCGTGAATTTTCTGTTTGATATGCCTTGTAATATGTCCTCTATGAAACATGCATTATGCAAGAGCAAAATCTGCTTATTACAAGTCTTTCTTTAGGCCTGAAATGTTATCTAAATTAGGCGGCCATTTTGGAAAAGATGGCCGTAAAGACCACCAGGGGGAGCTGCTGAGGTGGATCCACATCCCAAAATAATCAGTAGGGTTGACGCCATCTATGTGCCAAGTTTCATGATTATAAACCAAAGTGCACGATTTTTTGCTTAACCACCCCACTATAAAGAAAGACTTGTAATAAGCAGATTTTGCTCTTGCATAATGCATGTTTAACTAATGTATCTTTAAGATTTCGAGAAACCGGGCCCCGTTCTGATGTTATTACCCCGATGTTGTCGTTAATACACAAGATTTTATTCAAGTTAACAAAATGAGATCCAGTGAATTTGTATATTGGTGTCAACAACTCACCTAATGTGGGGTTGGGTGGTCTAAGGTGTGCGAGTTAGATCATACATGTAAAGTCTGTGATTGAGTGAAGTGCTATGGTTTCGATTTCCTGACAACATTCCTCTAGAGCGGGGAAGGGGAGGGGGATGGGGGTGTCCATAAGAGTTTATGGGGCCCATGAATATCAAAGTTCAAAACTGAAATGGGTAATATTATGCATGAATTTTTCTTATTGTCCCTTTGGAGTTTATATAATCTATTGAATTGTCTAGATATGACTATTGTGGGAAAGGAGGGCGGCGGGGGGGGGGGGGGGGGGCAAAAAAAGGTTTCGTCACCATCACATTTATTTTCCTCGGAGGGCCCTGAGTGACAAGGAGTAGAGTTTACCGGTCCAACTTCGTTTTCTCCGGTTTCCTCCCATAGTTGATTATAAAGACCCATACGCGCAAGCGAATTATTGAAATAAAATTGAGCCATATGTTAGTCCCGAAATGACCTAATTTGTGTCGAATGGACCATAAACCTCATCTCTCTCTCTCTCTCTCTCTCTCTCTCTCTTCGTTTTGGCAATGTATATCCGAGACTATAATGTGAGTTACTAATTATGTAAGATCTTTGTCCATAATAGAGAAACAACCAAAGTATTTTATGGCTGCCAAAGAAAAAACAGGCTGTCGAACTTTGATTCATAGCGACAGCCACAGCAGTATTATCATCGTCTGAAATAAATTGTTGCCTGCCGTAGTTGATGATCTTGGTCGTAGTTGCGGTATTGTTTTTTTTTTTTTTTAAAAATGCCCTGGTCAAAAGGGTGTAGCGTTGGGGGCTGTAAAAACAATGGTTCGAGTCGACCGAGTGGAACATCAATGCACAGATTTCCAAGGAACGAAGCTTTAAGAGAGGCGTGGACTACATTTGTAAACCTTAGTAGATCGAAATCTAATTGGAAACCGACAAAATGCAAGTACATATGCAGTGAACATTTTAGCCAAGATTGCTTTGATTCCAAACATCGATTTTTTGTCACCTTGGGCCTACCCAGTCAAAAGAAAAATCTTCTTGCTGGAGCTATTCCCAGCATTCTCCCTGCAAAAGTAACAAGCTATGCTGAAGAAACCATAGAGGTAAGCATATAAAGGGGCAATATTTTTTTTAAAAAAATATTTTAATAATTCAGAGCTAAATCCAGTTGGCAAATCTTGGCAGTCGACTCTGGTACCCTACATCGGGAGGAGGTTGTTTCATCCCACAACCGGTTCATCTCAGGCTCTTTCATCCTGGCTGTTTCCTCCCAAATTTACACGGGTCGTTTCATAGCACTTATATCGGGTCGTTTCATCCTAAAAATTTAAATACAGGTATTACATGAATTTTTAATATTTTATATATACATTAATACCAAGAACAATATGTCAATGCAATTTTATCATGAATAGTGTCCAACTTCTTCCTTTGCATACGCTTTAGCTTATTTTCCGAATCCACACCAATTCTCAACACCAATTTCACTAAAATTACATCGCTTACAATCGAGCGATGTAAATTGTTTATTTAGCTATAAGTAAGTGTTTAACAGTTTATTTAACAATAAGTACAACTCAGTTAATTGACTGCTATTATAATAACAAGGGGGATGAAACAGCCCGGGATGAAACAACCTGATAAAAAAATAGGTTGGGATGAAACAGCCCGAGGTGAAACGGTTGTGGGATGAACTGACCCACACCCCCCTACATCCAACCTCGGCTGTATGGCGGTAACTGATATGTAGCTACAGTCTACACCCATACTATTGTGATGCGGCTACAGGTTTACTTATTAAGAAAACTTGCTGCATTTAGAAAGAAGTTCCCAAAATGCGTTGTTCGAATAATGTGTAGAGTTTTAATTGCAAAGTTGTTCTTTGTTTAAAGAAAATCAGCAATCTGTTTCACAAAGAATTACAAGTCTTCTCTAATATCTCTGTAAAAGCCTTTAAACGTGCCGTCACAGCACGCGGCGTCAATCATTGGCTGAATGGCGCATGCATTGTTTACATAAGATGTTACTGCTTCGGGCAGAATGCTGCCTTTTAGTCATTTTAATACTAAAAAGGAAATAATTTTTACCTACAAATGCGTCAAACGTCTTTATTGATTTTTCTAATACATCAAAAAAATGATTTAGAATTTAATTTGTCGGTGGAAAAAAGGTAATATTTGAGACTCGTTAAGTTGCATTGATGTCATCCTTATCAGTGATTGTAGCGGCCTAGCAAATATTCACTGCTGATCAGTGTGGAAAATCAGATGAACTTGAAAGTAGTTTTACATCCGAGGTTAGATGTAGGGTGCATCCATAAAAAAATCCTAAGTCGATAGCAGTGTGGCATACAGCAAAAAATATGCCCTCTTCATTCATGTTGTTTGTGCCAAAAAAGTAAGACGTTAAAGGGTCAATCCCGATAATATTTTGGAGAATAAAACTGCTTAATTTTGTGTTAAAATCCCTTAAAATCCTCTATGTACCTAAGGGCCGAGCAACTAACTCAATATTTGTGATATGTTTTCAAACAATTTAAACCGGTCAGTCTTCATCTGGAAATGGAGACCGGTGTACCAGACTTTTATTGTATAAAAATAATGTGTAGGTGAAATTTACCTTTCGTTATCAAGTACAGCACATCAGTCATTCACTGTATAGACCTCTTAAGGAATCGATTATCAGATCACCCAACGAAAACACTGACCCGAAATCTTAAAATTTTGAGACAAGGTAAATACACCATTCATCTATATTTTGGCACTTAAATTTCTTACGTACTCGGAATTTTATTTTTGAGGCTCTGTTGAAATCGGGATAGTCCCTTTAAATATCCTTTTCTAAAACATATGTATCTATATTTTTTTCTTCAGAAAAACGTTGATGGTCGTGTGGAAACGTTTCATCAGTGTGTTGTTTGTGATCAGATGTTCCAGAATGCCAGTGTCTTAGAAATCCACAGCACTCAACACAAAGAGAACTCAAATAACGAGCACAGCAATATAATTCCTGATGAAGAAATATGTGATGAAGAAATTAAACTAGGTTTTATGGAGACAGACCTAGATGAATATAATGAACCACCAATTATTCATTTCAAAGAAGAAAGACTAATTAAAAACATTTCACATCATTGTATACATTGCAAGAAAAGTTTTTGGCAGTATACAGATTTGGAAGAACATGCATGTTCAGGTAGCCAAACACTTGTTCACGAGAAAGAATCGAAAACAAGTGTGTCTCCTCCCAGAACCATTTTGACAGAATCTGCTGAACCGTGTACTAAGTTAGAAGATACATGTACTGTAATAAATATGTCTTTTGAACCACACAGTGAACACAAGGAACCAAAAGAAAATCCTGTAATTAATACGAATTTCAAATCTCGCAGTGAACATATTGATGAAAACCAGAAAGACGAAGAGGCACAAATTTATGATGAGTGGGAAGATATAAAGAATGTAAACCTGGTTAGTGAAGATGGATGTACTAACGAGTCTTCAGCAAGCTCTTCAGTTCCCTTTGGTGTGAGTAACGATCCGTTTAACTTTCAACAACACAGTGACACAGAAAGCAACATCTCAGATCAAATACATGTACAAGAATCAAAACACGACCCTTCTCTTGAATGTGAAAATAAAGTTTGTGACAAATGTTTTCAACAATACAGCGATTTGAGACAACATATCTGTATTCAAGACCATTTTATTGGAACGTTTAATTTTAATAATAGAAACGATACGGATAATATCCTTGACTCTACGCAAAGCACTGGAGCTACAGATGATTCAAAAACTACCATGGAGTCGGACGATACACTGAGCTATAAATGTCTTCATTCTACGTCAACACTGGCTACGCAAAGTCAAGCGGGTACAAATGATTCAGAGACTACAATGGAGTCGGACTATACACTGAGCCATGGATGTCTGCATTCTACAGCAACACTGGCTACGCAAAGTCAAGCAAGTACAGATGATTTAGAAACTACAACAGGGTCGGATGATACACTGAGCTATAAATGTCTTCACTGTGATGATTCATTCAGTTTCTTTAAAGATCTGTGTCAACATACATGCACGGAGGAAAAAGCAATAAAGAATTCCGATCAAAGCAATATTTCTGGTAAAAATTACATCGTTTTTTCGGGGCTCAATAATCAAACAAAATCTCATGGACAGTTTTTTAAATGTGATGTTTGTGAACATGCATTTAGGGAACAGAACTCTTTAGTAAAACATATGAAGGTATATGCATGCAACGGTACCAAGAAAAATTTGTTTCGACGTGAAAAATGCTTTTCACCAAAATATAGTGCAACAGGTAAGATGAAGACAGATGCAGGTGAAAAAAAGTCAAAATGTAAAATATGTTCCAAGACATTTGTTAGTGATATCTGGGTAACTATGGTGAAATCTCGAACGGTACTTGGTGTTAAACATTACAAATGTAGCGTTTGTCATAAATCATTCCTGCATAAATTTAATGCAAAGAAGCACATGAATGAAGTCCACTCCAGGAATGAACAGTCTTCTAAATGTAAAGTATGTGAATTTATGGCCGTTACTGCTCAAAATAGACGCCAGAGAATCGACAGGGAAACATTTCTCACGTGTGGTGTTTGTAATGAATCCTTCAAAGAAAGTCGTGCATTTATGATGCATGTTAGAATTCATAAATCAAAAAGACATTTCTTTTGTAGTGTTTGTCGTAAATCTTTCGCTAGCAAGAATTCGTTACGACAGCACAGATTAGTCCATTCTGTAAGTGAATGTTATGAATGTATTTTTTGTGGACATTCATTCAGTGAGTTAGACAACCTTCAGATGCATATTCACAATGAGCACTAGCATTCAAAATTCTTTACAGAACGAATATTCTGATTCAAAGTCAGTCATTCCCAAATATCTGAATCAGGAGGGTGTTTTTTTTATTTTCATGCTTTTATTTCAGGGGGGTTTGGGTGGTCTAATGGCTTAATGAGTGTGTGTGAAATTATAAGGTCTGTCACTGAATAAAGTGACATGGTTTCGATTCCCCGTTTGGACGTGACAAGGAATGGGGTTGCCTGTTAAACCTTTTGTGTTTTCTCTCTCTCTGGGGTCTACGACACGTGCAAGGCGAATTATTGAAATATAAAAAAAAATTGAACCATATGTTAGGTCTGAAATTACCTCTTTTATTGTCAGTATAGGGGTGTGAACTAGATAATGTCTTGATTCATCAGAAAACCTTGTAGAGTTACTTCCCTTTAACCATCAGTAATCAATGTGATTAAAACACAGATATTATTTTGTTTCGTTTTTTATGGTTCAAAATTTCATTTTACTTGTCTTTACTACACTAGGATCTAGAAGAGTGGTTATATAACCCGTGTTCTGGTTAATGTGAGGGATTTGTCATTGAAACAGTCTGTTACGGCAAATTTTTCGCATGTGATGCACGGAACTGTGGGTATCCCAGTAGAAGCATCAACGCTCATTAGTAAATCAAAAGTCTGACGACATACGGTCAAAGACGACTCGTATCACCTTTGATGCGACCTTCCAATACAACTGGTCACATCTTCATGTAGTTGAGGCCATCAAAAGTATAAAAAAACCAAAACGAAATATAGAACTGTATTTGAATCAGATTGATCAGCAGGCCTGGAAATAACAGTTTTAGATGTACCTGACAAAATGTCAGACACTAATGAAATAGTACCTGACATTTTCAAGTTAGTGTCGGACATGGATTATAATATCAATAAAAAAGACAAATCAGTGCCGGACAAAATGACAGGCACCAGAGGTTTTGTGCCTGACAAAGCCTGAATCTGTGCCTAACATTGTCAGTGACAGGTATCTTATTTCCTAGTTCAGCTCTGAACGTAGGTCTCATAACACTCACCCTGTAGTGTAATGAGACCTACGTTCAGAGCTGAACTACTTATTTCCAGGTTTGCTGATCAGTAATTAATGAGACTGCGTTTAATTTTTTTTTATATAAAAATGTTTGTTCGTTCGTCCGTAGGGTTTTATGTCCTCTTCCACCTTGGGTGATATGGTAGACAAAATGTAAAAATTGTGCCATGTTGCCCTTTTTTAAGTGACACAGGTTATTCAGAGGAACGGAATGACTTTTTTATTGGCCTAATAAAAACGTAAAAATTTGAATAACTACATAAACACTAGTGCTGGCACGATACATTGTTGATTCTATGTATTGCGATTCACCTTCTCACGATTTGCGTATTGAATCGCAAGCCTCTGAATCGATTTTTTATGATTCTTTTTTTTATGTATTTTTTTTGGCACTTCAGTAACTAACCAGTCACTCTTAATTAAACACCTTTAAATTGTTTTGGTCGTTATTTTTATCCATAAAAATATCATGATATAAAACAGTTTTATTTCTTTGCTTTAGGCAGGACTAACAATCTCCCGTCAAAAGGCAAAACCTAGTAACTCACTTTTTTATCAAAATTGAGTTAGGGCCAAATTTGTAGTTACCAGGGTATGTGCTTCCTGTTGTTGTACTAGATATTCCAATCGTTTGATTTTGTAAGCAGTTACACCCATGACACAACCTAGCAACTTCCTTCATTTGTCTAGTATACCACAGCAAAACCTAGTAACTCAATAGTCAAATCAATGGATGAGCTGGGGTTTAATATTCATTCATTCCGTTTTCCTTTGTTTTCTCAAAATAAGAAAAAAGTGAGTTACTAGGTTTTGCCTTTTGACAGGAGCAATTCTCTCCATAAAATTATCATTCATTTATCCTGTTGTTGTCTTGGTGAATATTGACCCGGTCCCGAGTTCACGAAGCATTCTCAGATTCAAGTTAAGACTTTACTCAACTTTCAATCACTGTTTATGAGAAATATCTTTGATCTAGAAACACAACACTTTGCACATAGTTTCTTATCAATATATTTGCTACATTAAAACAACAAAAGTTTTATAAAGGGCTATATTATAGTTAAAATAAGAAGAACAATTTTGAGTAAATTCTTAACTTAAACATGCATTATGCAAGAGCAAAATCTGCCTATTACAAGTCTTTCTTTAGGCCTGAAATGTTATCTAAATTATCAATTAGGCATTAATTAACTTATTCAGACCATAATAAACTCTCGATGTCAAGGCTAGCCTTCGATGTTGACTGGATTAGATTCCTATATGCCGCTAACGGCCGTTGATAATTAAATCAGAAAAAGTGGATAATCGAGACTATGCTGTTTATATTAATGATTTTAGTAATGATGACCGAGACTATGCAAATATTTCACCCGCTTCTTTCTCGGCTCATAGTGGATCAATTTGACTGAAATTTTCAGCAAATTCTGAGTCACAATACCCATCATTAAATAACATGGCTATGCATCTTCCTCAAACAACCTAAGCATTACAAAGTTTCTGAAAACTGCCCAAGTATGTACTTCCTTAAAAACGGTATTCTCCTTGTATTTTGTTTTTAAAAATAAAATAGAAATGCATAATGATTATGAAATTATAAAGTGTGCGTAATGGCAATATTTTTCATTTGCCACTCTGTTTAATTTCGCGAACCTGACTACTTTTGTCAAATAGTTAAATCAGATGTTTACATTAAACGTTTTATATTTATTAAATCAGATATTATAAAGCATCACAGTGTGAAATATACTATTCAAAAAAAGTAGGGGATATTTGATTTTGGGGGCATAATACTAAAATATGCAAATGACTACGAAAAAAGTCACTATAGAACCTAACAGAAGAAACATTTCCAGTTACATGTGACGCCCAAACGCACCAATATCTACCGCATGGAATGCAGGTGATGCTTGGGATCATCATGGGGGTCCAACCCAAGATTTGCACGACTCTGACTTTGAATGTTACAGTCATTGTGGCATTGAATTCCAGGGTGTAAACATCAGTTTAATTGTTTTAGTGACCAGAAAACAAATTTTGATATGCGTCGGCTTACCCAAAATGACAGGTTACGTGCCCTTGGCATGCTACAGATCGGCACAACACAGGCGGTTGTGGCGCGGACGATGAATGTTTCTCAGTCTGTCATAAGCAGGCTATGGTCCAGATACCGTGATACACAATCTGTACAGGACAGACCACGCTCAGGTCGACCAAGGGCGACAACTCAAGCCCAGGATCGATTTATCCGTACCTTGGCCTTGAGAAATCGTGTCATCACAGCAAATCAGATCAGCGCTCGTCTTCAAACAGACACTGGTGTGAGAGTGAGTGGCCAGACGATTAGGAATCGACTGCATAGGGGTCACCTTCGCGCCCGACGTCCTCGTTTGAGAGATCATCACATTCAGGCAAGACGTCGTTGGTGTAGGGATCGTCAACACTGGGATAATCGACGCTGGAGCAATGTGATGTTTTCAGATGAGTCAAGGTTCACTGTTGATTTTTTGGACAGACGTAGGAGGGTGTGGCGTCGTCGAAACGAGCGCTTCCAAGAAGTTAACGTCATCAGACATGATCGATTTGGGGGTGGTTCTGTTATGGTGTGGGGAGGCATCACTGTTGCTGGAAGAACGGCTTTACATGTTGTTGCAGGCCGTGTTACAGGCCAGTACTACCGGGACAACATCTTGGCAGTCCATGTTGTGCCGTTCGCACGACGTCATGGCCGCCGTTTCATCTTCCAGGATGACAACGCAAGATGTCACAGGGCCAGGATCGTTACAGGTTACCTCCAACAACAGAACATCACCACATTACCTTGGCCAGCATTGAGTCCCGACTTCTCCCCCATCGAGCATGTCTGGGACATGCTTGGACAGAGGTTACGTCAACGTCAACAACGTCCTGCCAATGTCCAAGAACTTGCTGCTGCGTTGCAACAGGAATGGGACAATCTGGACCAAAATGACCTTAGACGTCTCATTAGGAGTATACCACGTCGGATCAATGCTTGTTTGGCAAACAGAGGAGGATTTACCCGTTACTGACTTGGTTGTGATGCTGTGGTAACTTTGCTGTTTGATCCCGGGTATCATTTTACCCTTATAATGGTCAGTCTGTGCCTTACTTAGTCTAACGATCATTTGGAATAAATCGATGAATGTGAACTTCATTTCATTTTGTCATTTGTTTCTTCGTCAGTTTCATTAGGTGACTTTAATAACACTTAAAAATCAAATATCCCCTACTTTTTTTGAATAGTATATTTGTTATAACTTTCATACTCATACCTGTACGCGTTGTATCAGGAGGTCTGTCATTGAGTCAACTAGCGTAGTTTCGTTTCCCCGGTTGACAAGGAGTAGGGTAGGGTAGGGTTCCCTCCCAGTGCTAATGCGAATTTTTGAAATAAAATTGAACCATGTGTAAGTCCTGAAATGACCTAGTTTGTGTCGAGTATGACCTAGTTTGTGTCTAGTATGACCTAGTTTGTGTAGTGGAGGTTAAACCGCATCTCTCTCTCTCTCTCTCTCTCATACCTGTACATGTAGTTGTGAATAAATTAGTAAGATATTCATTATTATATATTTATTATGATTATCATTATTAAGCTTTCATATTACATATGAAAGCTTATTGTTTCTGTTAAGATTATTAAGCTTTCATATTACATATGAAAGCTTATTGTTTCTGTTAAGATTATTATTGTTATTTTTTTTTTGTGTTTTGTCCACAAATCGGATTTCTCAGAATCTAACCATAGGATCGTTCTGAAACTTTTACCTATCCCCCCAAAAATGGGTGGTGGCTGTTGATTAAATATATTTTCAAAACGTTTTACGAATCCGAAATCACCGAATTTTACGAAGGAATGCATTTGACCTACAATGCTGTAACTTTGTGACTATTTGACCTATTTTACTAATTCTTTTTTCTTTGAGTATCTTGAAACATTTACTTCAAATCTGCAATTTCGGATTTTGGCATTTCGAAAATTCGTCGCTGTCATTTCGAACCGGAAGTTATTACCAATTTGACAACTTCTTTAATAGTTGTGCGATTTTCGTGAAATTTAGAATGTTAGTAGATCTTGCCAATGCGACTTCAATGATGTCCTTGGAAATTTTCTAAATTATCTCCCCTTGGTGAAATTAAGGATCAAAGTTTTCAAAAAATATAGGTCAGAATGACCTAAAAATAAGTTCGATACTAGGCAAGTAATTACTGATTCGTACACAAAATATGGAGTTTGTCGATTGAACCGGAAGTGCCACCATCTTTAAACGTGAAAAATCAAAAAGGCTTTTTTGCTATTTTACTTACAGACTCGGGCGTCATATTTTCGGAATCCTGGAAGGAATGTTTAAAAATCTATCGGATCAGAATTTTGATTTCGGTCACGTGATGGTCACCATTTTGAATTGAAAATGAAAAATAGAAGCAATTTGAAGGGCCGGGACTTTGGAACACAAGAACTCTCCTTCTAATTAAGCTAGAATGTTCAAACTTGGTGTAGGCGTTCACTAGGTCAATGTCATGATTGAGTTCAAAGATGAGCATTTTTTGCCTAGGGTAAGCAGAGATAAGCAAGCTGATTTGTTGATTCTTTAGGGCACGATGACATAGTTATAATGAATGGAGGGCGATGAAACTCTTGTCAATCGAGAGGCTAATAGCTGGCCTGTTGTGTGAAATCATTGTATCATTTTTTAAAAATGTCCGGGGTAGCCGAAAAAAGGAGATCGAAATCCAAAAAGTCGTATTTTTACGATTTGGGGCATTTTTAGAGGTCGTGTAAAGTAAAATAAAGCATGCATATACATATATTATTGATATTAAATATATCATATAAAAAGCTAAACAATGAATCAGCTGTCATTGACAGATTTTATATTATAAGCATGGTCAGTGGAAGGTCAGCGTATTGTCTAACTTGAACTCACTGACTCCGTAACATTATTGTGGGTATGGTATAAGCTGAATTTGATGAGATGCACATATCTCGTATGACTATTTGGTACTTACAGTGTTAGACTTTGTCGTAACGTTACGGTCTCCATTCATCAAATCGTCGTTGGGGCTATAATACGATTTTGAATCAAGTTATTTATCACTGAGGGACTCAAAATTAGGTTTGATGTAGCTCTGCTCATTTACAGTGGCGAATTTAACGGGCTCATGGGTTCCAGCTCCCTCCTCTAGAAATTTCACAGCACCCGCATGGATTGTGGCTAATTTTGTGGCAGAATTTTATTTTTCTGGGGGAGGTACTTCTAAATGGCTCCGACACAAGTGCCTGAAATGCCATGAAATCACGTTTTCGGCCTCCAATTAAAATTTCTTAGCGGGAGAACCCCCTGACCCGACCCCCTTGCGGGGCTTCACGGTCGGTATCAGCCCCCCTCCCCACCACCATGGTTAATCCGGCGTTGATGTTCCCTCTTGTGCAGCTGCAAAAGAATGTACAAGTTCATTGCCTCATTGTCAAAGATCCCACTTTTCTACCCCAGTTCGGGTACTGAGGTCGAGCGTATATTGTATAGGGGATATTAAACAAGCAAACAGTATGGCTGATGTCTCCCGCCAAAACCCCAAAGTAAAAGATGACACATTAATTAATCGCACTTTCATATTTTTTTCAAAAGTATCGAGCAATCAAACTATACTGTAAATTTCATCACTCTCTGTCAGATAGAAATCAAGGTTATCTTGTCCCAAAGCATCGACCAATGAAATTGCCAAGCTGTAGCTCAAAATGTTCAGTCAAGACCTGATGAACATCTACACCAAGTTTAAACATTCTAGCTCAATTAAAAGCTGGGTTGTTATGTTCCAGTACTTCATTATAACCAAAGTTATCATACCCCAAAGCATCAACCAATTCAAAGTCCCGGCCAATCAAGTTGCTTTGCTTATCCTGACTAAGAGAATGCTCATTGTCGAACTTGGTCAAGGTAATATGGTCAAGGTACTAATGTAATGAAACTATACACAAAGTTTCATCAAATTGCTTATCTCTGCTTACCCATTTTAATAGTCCCCTGCCAATCGAAAAGCCCCCCGACCCACCCACTCCCCTCCCGTGTAATACATTAGGTTATAATTGTGTTACAAATGTATCACAAGGAGCATTTGAATATTCTCTCAGTGGCATCTGATACCACTTGTCATTGAGGTGTTCACACAGCCAACTCATTTTTGTTTGTTTGTGTTATCTTTATTCAGTATATATCAACTAATACAAATGAAAAAAAGTACTTGGTTTAATGAGATTATCTTTTGAGAGTTGGTCATACAGGTATCACTAATCATAATTGCTCTTAACTTCAAATATATACACGATTATGTGTATTCTAAATATCAAATAAAACAATGATGATTTCTTTACAATAGCAGTACAACAAATTTATTCGCAATATTTTCCTTTGATCAGTTGATCAAAAACCTGATTATATTTACAATATATTCTAGGTCTTTGCTCTTTATTCCATTGGTTCAAAATATGATAAAAGAGGCTTATCAAAAAGTTTATATCATGTAGTCTTATATAACAAATAGAACAATGACATACAAGATGTTTCAAATCATAATCTATTTGCATTATTTATTTCAATAATTTGACCTGTGATATTCATGTATAAAGCAAAATAGTAAACATTGAATTTCATTCACTTTTATGTATAATATAGTATTAAACCGGTTAAATATTGTATACAACATTTATTTAATTTCATA